CAGTCAATGTTGGTTTTGGTTATGTGTCTTTCAGAATAAATTCGTCAAAATTGACTTGATTTGTGGTAACTCTTTATAAACTTTTGCAAGATGCCGCGAAGATATAATCAGCAATCCCAGCTAATAGTTTCGAATAGCCTATTTTTGCCACACAACAATCATAAATATCGTAGTATACCTTTAGGTTAGGACTCATCGCTTAATTATAAATAACATAAAAAATACGTTATTTGAAACCAGCGTGATGTCATTCTAGATAGATAATATCCCAACTGTAGGGGACGGCTCGGTTGGTAAAGCTTTAGAATTGCAAACTCGATTTGCCGGAGTTTGTGGGTTCGATTCCCACCTTGAGTGTTTTAATCGTTAAAAATTTGTTTATACATTATAACTTGGTTGTGAGCTGGCCGAATTACCTTATGAAGCAGTTACCAAATAAAGCGTAATGCGTTGTTGTCGCGCACATGTCTAGAAAACAAATCTTCCCTAACCTAAATTTAGATATGACCTAGTGTTAGCGGGCGCCTAAAATCTGCTCTGTAACTCCTTTATTACCTACTTTTAAGAGTTATCCATTTTATTTATATAGATGTGTATAAATATTACGAATAAAATATATTCGCAGTAGACGGATTAATATACTAATAAATATCTGCTGGTCATAGTCCTTCCCTTCGTTTCCCCTCGGAAAAATAAAACCTATTCAGAATAACAAATATTTGGCATTTCATTTGGGATACGTTTACCCTCTTACACATCGGAATTTGGGGTAAATTTATCCTTTTGCCAGATACGCAACCGAAGTTTGCGGCTCCTGGACGATCCCCAAAGCTACCAATTCCATCTCGCGATTCGATCTCCGGCGAGTACTTTACACAGAGGATTTAACTTATTCAAAAACCTCCGTCACTCTGAGATAAGAGATTTGTCGAAAAGAATGACTGCGGGAAAAAGTCTACGCTCGCTTTAAGAAATTTGAAACTCAGGTTGTTCTTCGAGAAGTTGCGCAACAGCGGAATAATTAAATCTTGCTACTAAGGTGTTTAGTTTTTAACTTTAATTAGAACATCTCGGATCGACTTTCGGATTGTATTGGAACTGCCCTTGTTAAAAGTACCGATCACTTGTCTCGTCAGACTGATAAGTTGAAGTAAGTTGTCTTATTCTATTATACGCTGCCGTGATAATATATCATGCAACGAGTTTATGAGTGACCGTTTAACAAACGAGTTACCAATTTATCAAACGCGTTACATACTATACTTTTTCTGCGACAGTTAGTTTTTGCAAATCAACACGCAAGACAACATGACCGTCAGAATTGATAAACGTCAAAATTCAAGCCGTGCGGTAAAATCTCCGGAAACATACGATAGTATCCCGGAAATGTCCGAAGTGGTAAATTGACGCTTCCCGCACACTAGACTGGTACTTTACAGAAGGGAATATAAAAAGCTTATTTTTTTGTTGTTCAGGATTAGTGTTGGTATTTATCCGATGGTTAAATTCATTACCCACAAGATATTTACCGTTTGGAACATTTTGTATTTTTCTTTAAAACGTATAATTCTTTCATAAAGATCATAATAAACAAGATATTATTGATTTTGATATCTAATACGAGTCCTTAATCAATTACCAATTATAGAACCGCAAAGGCGTCAACGACAAATCTGGCAACCGTGCACTTGCTCCAAGAACAAGAGGAATTCCCCAACTTGTTTTTTTTTTGTTTCCTACACTCTATTGTGATTTGAGTGTTGTAACTTGTTGCTTTGGTATGGTAGCACGTGTTGTGTTGTAAATACGCACGTGAGAAGAGTCCTGTACGGAAATTGTAAACTGCAAATGTGGTCAGAAACAGTACGAATTTGCAAATATAAACAAAATGACCAACCATGTTAAAAACTCTGCTAAGTGTCCAAAGAGTACTGATAACATGGAGTTCAATACCTGCGGGTTATGTAGTCTCTCAGAAAAAACCTGCTAATACTATTGACTTACAAATAGGAGATATAGAAGCATTTAAGCGCAAGCACCATTGCCAATGTTACTCAAACTCGAGATACCACAATCATGGGTGTACGAGTTTCATTAAAAAAAAAAAAACGTGTTATCGTCTGTTATAAAGACAATCAGCCTAAAAGAAACCGTAAGTGGGCTCTCAGGTGTTGGGACTTCGTACTAGTTTTAATAATAATAATTTCTATACTTGCATCTTTTTTTTTTTTGGTTCAAGCTCCAAAGTATAGTTAAATTATAGTTAAAGCGATTTTGGTCAATAGATCACCAATAATTTTTATTGGAGCATTCATTATGGATTGAGCGCATCAGAAAACTGATACTTTCAAACAAGCTTCCTCACTGCAAATATTTGTCTTCAAAGGAGCTGTTTAGCATCCAGGTTCTCATACGTTGATGTATATTATGAAAAAGGCATTTGACATCGTTCACAATGATAAATTAATACGGTCGAAACATTCGGATAATAGCCAATTTATACTGGAACCAGACAGCTGACATAAGACTTGACGGCCAGAAATCTGAAGAAGTCTCTAATATGAGAGAAGTTCGGCACGCATATGTGCTCTCCTTTTTGTTTAATTTATATGCAGAGGGTGTAATTACTAATGGAATCGTAATCAACAATTTAAGATACGCTGACGACACGGTCTAGCAACAGATAAGCTATCAGCGGTAAGAGACCATACCCAACAAATGAGTCTACGCTTAAATCGATAGGCATCAGCAAAAACAAAAAGATAACTAATAACTTAATAGTACAAACATACAACTATTTGGGGTGCTGGGTGAATGAAAACTGGGACTCACCTCAATAAACTCAGAACAGAAGAGAGCAAGCAAGACCATCTTTTAAGAAAATGCAAAATATGTAATGTGTGAGCCTTAAAAAATCCCCTAAGAATGCGCTTATTACATTGCTAGGTCTTTAACATATTATTTTATGTAATAGAAGCAGGGACCCTCACTGAAACAATATGTAAGAAGATTGAGGCTTTCGAAATGTGGGCTTACCGGAGAATGTTGAAGATATCGTGACAGGGTGACGAATCAAGCAGTTCTGCAACATATGAACAAAGAAAGAGAAGTGCTTAAAAGAAGACAGCTGGATATATGAATTGCTGCATGTAATCATGCAAGGGAAAATAGAGGGAAAACGTAGATTTGTTGCGGAGAAAGTGAAGATCATGCTACTCATCGCCAGTATTCTCGGAGGGCGCGGCACTTGAAGAAGAAAAAGAAAACTACACTACAGGCATTGACTGTAAATCAACAAACCGCAGATGCGTATTCGCAGAACGGAGAGGCTGTATTTTAGATGGCAACATTTCTTACAACCGTTCGTTTCTTTAATCAAAAACGTATAATATATATCGTGCATTATGCTATTACTCAACTGCAGAACATTCTTGTTAAATTATTAACAAAATCACCCTAGACAAATAAAGAAGGGAAAACAATATTAGAAAAAAAGAAAATGAAAGGCACTGAATTTGGCTGTAGCGCTGTTAGATCCTGCTTCTCACGGTTGCAACTAAAGTCCCGATGGAAATGTAGATGCAATGGAGTTTAAAGTGTCAGCCGACAAAAATATTCAAGAGAGTGTCCATGGATCTAGCTAGTTCATGTGCCATGGATGGTTTATGGGCTAAACCGTTCGTATGGCTGTCACCTTGTTCAGTGTAACCTTTGGTATGGTGGAAGAGCATTTATAGAAAATTCCCTTTCAGGTGTTTATGATTTAGTGGTCTGGAAACTATGTTTTTCTTTTTTCATGTTTAAGTTTGAACTAATATGACAGAGAATATGGCTTTTTGTTTTTTCTTTTATTAGTTTTCTATTGTATACATTTTCTAATAAAATAGGTATTCAAAAAAAATTGTAGTAGATATAACAACATACCACCTACCTACCCTAACTCTAAACTATTTACTTCCTACAAATATATATTCCGGATATCTTAGAAAATCCGTTCTTTTCTCTCTTCTAATATATGAATCATCCAAAATTACCAATGTGTGAAAGAATGTGTTTATTGAACCAAAAAATCTGGAGCTATACTAACCTACATTTCACAAAAACCTCTCAAGTAGCTCTAATTAAGCAAAATTTTCTGAAAGAGTTTGCTTCACATTCTATTAAAAAAAAAAACCGAGCAATTGCTTGAACTTATTTGTAGCAAGGTGCGCAAATTCGAAACTTAAATCCCTTTTGGAATAGCAAAGTAAGAGCTTTAATTTCATTATATATTTGTGGTGGTTTGGAAAGACAGATGATTTGATAATCCTGTTTAGCCAGGCCTGGTGGTGTCATATTGTAACTATCTGTCTTGGGAGGACGACCTTATTCTTATACTCTACCTTTGAAATCAATGTTATATATTTTTTGTTTGGTGGGTTTACTTTAAGTAGGCGATTTGCTTGAAATATCCATGCTTTTATTCTAAAAAGAGTTTTAGTATTAAAGCGAACTTTGGCATCACTCCGCATATGTTATCCTGTTTTTGAATTGATCGCCGTTAAATTGTGATATCCCTTGCTCTTTGGATAATAAAAAAGCAGCTTCTGCTGAGAACCGTCAGCCCTTGTGGAAACACGAACGGTTTGACCTTGACGACGATAAAAAATACCCAATTAACCGCGAATAACCCGCCGGGTGGACGCATTCATCACTTTTAATCCATTTTGCTGTTTGCTGGGATCAGTTTGTTTGCTCACCCCTTACGTCCAAGGTAAGCATACCCCTTGGGTCTCCCGCCGTTACAACTTTTGACGTCTTTCCATGCACCTACGTAGCAAGAACGCGGCGTTGCCCCGACGAAATCGCTATTTTGTTTATAAAATATCGCGATTAAGAACAAAACAATTCCATCGGACGTTTTTTAAACAATCACGACGAACTTTAAACAATTTTACGTGCGGTGGGCAACGCAGGAAAGCAACTTTCATCGATTGAATTTTAATTCCGATTCCTATAAGATGGTGCGAATAGTTGACGACGTTTCGACCGAAATGCCCGATTTAGAGCACGCCATCAGGCTTACCGGTAAGTCGAACCTACTCGAATATACACGAGGGTCTTTGTATTTGCGTACAGGGTGGGTCAAGCAAATGGGTTTGTTTCGTGAAACTGGGGCTCTAATTTTACGAAAAACTCACTCGCAAACGAAAATTGACTGTCCGTTTGGTGGCTTGGGGGCGTTTAACTAAACTGCGGAAATTAAAAAACGATAGGTGACTTTTTATTTTTTAAAATCAGTCAAATTTGAAATTACATTTATCATGTAACTTTTTATGCGGAATTGCAAATTATTGTCAAAAGTGTGTTCCGATTACGAGTTACTGATATAAATTTAAAATTTTCTTATAAAACATTTTAAATTAAAAAAAAAAGGCGTAATACTGGGAGTGTTCAAAAAGTAAGGTAACTGTTGTAATTGGGTGGGCTACGTACATTAGATCTTCGATATTTTTTCTATGATGTGTACACAGGTCCCTAACATATGTTCACAGTTTCAGCCAGTTTGCACGTTTGCTTTTTTTTATGAGACGGAAGAGTTAGACGGCGATTTCCTGCTGTCAAAAAAAATGAAACAAAGAATTTGCATAAAATTTTGTGTAAAAAATATAGCGAGCAAAGAAAATGTCTATAAGTGGTACAAGCTGTTCCAAAATGGTGATGAAAGTCGTCGAGAAGTGGCCGAAGACGTCGGCATCTCTATTAGCTAGTGCCATGCAATTTTTCCGAAGTTTACCTTCTAAAGAGCATCGCTCAAGTGATGTTAAACGACGTCAATGATGATCCTGATATGCTTTAAAGAGTTCAAAACTGATGACGAATCATGGATATATGGTTATGACATCGAAACCAAAACCCAGTCCGGCCAATGAAAGAACCCAAAATCGCCAAATCTCAAGGTTTTGCTGTTTTCTTGCATTACAAAAATTGCTGGAAGAATTAAAGGCTATACCAGAACGTGCTTACCAGTGCTTTGAATATTGGAAAAAACGTAGACGCAAGTCTGAGGGGTTACTTTGAAGGGAACAACAATTTTGATAAATAAATAAATAAATACTTTTTGATAAAACTTAGAAGTCGCCTTACTTTTTGAACACACCTGGTGTGTCAAAGTTATATTCCTTTAAATTAGGAGCTTCATAAAAAAGAAGGGTCCTTTTACACTTTTACAGAAAAGTTTGTTCAATAAAAGAATATTTTTGTTATACCTTTAATAGTGGATAAAAAAATGGTAAATATATTTTTTCAATATGTTTTAAACATTTTCTAAGTAAAAGTCATTTTGTTGTAAATATTCGTTTAATAATATCTCTGTAATGCCACTACAAATGTCTCAGTAAAAGGTAGGCCCCACCAGTGAAAAATCTACGTCTCGCGGCGTTGCCGCGTGTCTTTAAATTTCCTCGTTGCCGGTCAATCGTGAGGAGAGCGACACAATCTCAGTTTTTGGGTTCTAGGTTACGGCATATTCCACTACGAGATCCTGGCGGTATGCGCGTTGTCCGTACTATGCCTAGGATTCCAAAACGGTCTATCCTCGTACGTATTCCCGGCTGCCCAATGCGAACTGGACCTGACTTCGTTCGAGATCGGGATTCTGAACGTCGCGTTCCTTGTCGGAGGAGTGACTAGCTGCTTCCTATGGGGCGGCCTCGCGGACAACGTTGGTCGAAAGCGAGTCTTGGTCGTCAGTCATTTGGCCAACGCCGTCGTCACGATCTTCTGCGCCGTCCTACCCGGCACCCTGACGCTGATTGCGGGCAGATGTTTGAACGGATTTTTTGCCGGTAATCTCCGCCAACGCATTTTGAATTTGCATTCTCGCAGACATTTATTTAATGGTAGAAAACTACGTCACACCTGTAGATTTCAACTTCTGAGTAAATAGTATTAGAGTAGCCCGTGGAAGTTACATTCGATTGGAAAAAAAACGTCAACAAACCAACCGATATCAACTGTAGTCGATTTCGGTCAAAATCGACTTCTCCAACACATATTGTAACAAAATTAACAAACAAACTGAAAACTTTTCTTTCTAGATTCAAGAGAAGCTTTTTCTAGTCTATTTCGATCAAATTCCAGTGAAAATCAGCTTTTCCACCAGTTATTCTACTGAAGACTACATCACAGCTGTAGACATCAAATTAAAACCTTCTGAATCAAATAGCCTTTTATACTATTTACACATCTTACTTGCTCATTACGACTCATCAACAACTGACGCAGGAGAAATCCAGAAGATTTGTAAATAGTATTAGAGTAGCCCGTGGAAGTTTCTTTCGATTGAAAAAAACATCAACAAACCAGCCGATATCAACTGCAGTCGATTTCGGTCAAAATCGACTTCTCCGCCACATGTTGTAGCAAAATCCATCGAACATTGTGCTATCAACTTAAAATTTCCCTTTCTAGATTCAACAGTAGCTTTTTCTTGTCTTTTTCGATCAAATTCCAGTGAAAATTAGCTTTTCCGCCAGTTGTTCTACTGAAAACTACATCACAACTGTAGACATCAACTTAAAACGTTCTGAGTCAAATAGCCTTTTATACTATTAACAACTGACGCAGGAGAAATCCAGAAGATTTGTAAATAGTATTAGAGCAGCCGGTGGAAGTTTCTTTCGATTGGAAAATAACATCAACAAACCAGCAGATATCAACTGCCGTCGATTTCGGTCAAAATCGACTTCTCCACCACATGTGGTAACAAAATTAACAAACAAACTTAAAAGTTCTCATTCTAAATTCAAGAGAAGCTTGTTCTAGTCAATTTCGATCAAATTCCAGTGAAAATCGGCTTTTCCGCCAGTTATTCTACAGAAAACTACATTACAGCTACAGACATCAACTTAAAACGTTCTGAATCAAATAGCCTTTTATACTATTTAAAAATTTTCTGCATTCTTCCTGCGTCGGTTATTGATGAATCTTATTTGCTCATTACGACTCATCAACAACTGACGCAGGGAAAATCCAGAAGATTTGTAAATAGTATTAGAGTCACCTGTGGAAAAAAACATCAACAAACCAGCAGATATCAGCTGCAGTCAATTTTGGGCAAAATCGACTTCTCCACCACATATTGCAACAAAATTAACAAACAAACTTAAAACTTCTCTTTCTAAATTCAAGAGAAGCTTCTTCTAGTCTATTTCGATCAAATTCCAGTGAAAATAAGCTTTTCCGCCAGTTATTCGCCCGACAACTACATCTACTGTAGACATCAACTTAAAACGTTCTGAGTCAAATAGCCTTTTATACTATTTACAAATTTTCTGCATTCCTCTTGCGTCGGTTATTGATGAATCTTACTTGCTCATTACGACTCATCAACAACTGACGCAGGAAGAATCCAGAAGATTTGTAAATAGCATTAGAGTAGCCCGAAGAACTTTCTTTCGATTGGAAAAAAAAAACATCAACAAACCAGCCGATATCAACTGCAGTCGATTTCGGTCAAAATCAACTTCTTCGCCACATATTGTAGCAAAATCCAAATCAACATGGTGCTATCAACTTTAAATTTCCCTTTCTAGATTCAACATTAGCTTTTTATTGTCTTTTTCGATCAAATTCCAGTAACCAATAAGCCCTTCCGCTGTTTATTGCAACGAAAACTACATCACACCTGGAGACATCAAGTTGAAACCTTCTGAGTCAAATAGCCTTTCATACTATTTACAAATTTTCTGTATCGCTATATCAACTTACAATCTCCTTTTTTGCTGAGTTCGATCGGTGTGTAGGTAAAATCAGCTTTTCCGTTACATATTGTAAAACCTTAATTTCTGGATCAAACATTTTTCTGGTCGTTTTCTGTCAGATTCTAGTCAAAATCCGTCTGTCCGCTACATATTCTAAAAAAATATTATCAAATGAGCAAATTCTAAGTTAAAGTCAAGTCAAATTCGGTCAGGTACAATCAAAAACGACTTCTCTATATTAAATATATATTAAATAAGCGGATAAAAGCAGATTAAAAACATGGAATATGTTTGATTTTGACTAGTAAAATGTGTCTTCAGGCGCGCCTGGCAGCATAATTTTCTCCTACGCGGCTGAATTTCAACCCACCAAGTACCAGTCGGTTGTCGTATGCTGCTGCGGCATCGTCTTCACGATCTCGTGGCTCCTGCTTCCGTTCCTCGCGTACGTCATCCTACCTCTGCCCATACAATTGACCACAACGACAGTGTTCGTCCTGCTGCCCTGGCGGCTGTTCCTGCTGACCCTCGGCTTCCCCGAACTAATGACGGGGCTGTGGTTCCTGAGAATGCCCGAGAGCCCCAGGTTCTACATGGCCAAGAAAATGCCCAAGGAATGCCTAGAGGTACTGAGGCTCATGTACTCCCGCAACAAGGACAAACGTCCAGAGGACTATCCGGTGAATCGTCTTCATACTCATTCCGTGGAAGACGAAACCAAGATGGCGCAACAGATCGCGAGTCTGGTCAAAGCGCCACTGCTTAAACTGTCTTGCTTGAGCTGTGCGATCATGTTCGCGAACATGTTCGGGTGAGTCTGCAATTTATTCGAATAGTTAGTTAATATTTCCTTTTCTCAAAAAAGGTGATCCTTCTGCAGTTGAAAATTACCGACTTATTTCGATCTCACGCAATTTTTTTGAAACATATTGGAGAATATATTACATAAATTTATCTTTTCTCAAATTCGAAATAAACTCTCTACGCCGCAACATGGATTTTATGAGAAAAGTTTCCTTTATGTCCCCAGTTTTCTTATGCCTGTGACTTCCTGAATAAGCAAGGTCAAGTTGACGTTATATAAGCTGATTTCAAGTGTTGAGTTCCTATCTGTCCAAGCGTAGACAGTTCGTTGAGATTGAGGACTTTAGATCAGCTCCTTTTGTTCCAACTTAGGGTGTGCCTTAGGGTTCTAACTTTGGACCACTTTAGTTCAATATATTCGTAGATGATCACAGATCTTTGATCATCTGAGAGAAGCTGGCCTATGCGGATGACATGCGGATGACTTAAAACTATATTACATCAAAACCGGAAAGGACTGCATCACTATCCAGGCGAATATGGACATTGCCAGTCAGTGGTGCATTTTAACATCTGCAAGTGTAAAGTGGTTTATTTATTATGGTATTCTCTTGAGTAGACTTGCCTCTGTAAAGGATCTGGAGATTTTATTTGACCAGGCCTCATATTACTAAAATGACTTCCAGGATTCATAATAAGAAATTGCAGGTATTTTTGTAGCTCAGCTAATATTAAAATATTACTTAATTGTTACGTTAGGTGCAAGCTTGACCATGGCTGGGTGGTATGGTCACCAATATATAACTGACACGCTTAGTCCATTGAGAGTGCGCAGAGTATGTTTAGTGAGGAGGGTTCCTATCCTAATCTTCTACTGAGAAGTTTCGCGGTGCTGCCTCTGAGCTTACGCAGAAACTTGCCATCTGTATCATTTCACTACAAGCTAGTTTGTTACAGAATCAATTCTCTGTTTCTTATCTAACAATTACGTTTCATGGGCGACGGATGGAAGGGAGACATCAATCAACTTTCATACCGCAGTTACTCAAAACTCTACGAATTATCATCGAACTATGATAAAGGCTTTGGGGGCCAGCGTTTGAACTGTAAGTGTTTTTGTTCGGGCTTAATGGCCGTCGTTGAGTGGAACTTCTTTCTGACGTTTCGCTAGCACGAGAGACTAGCTTCTTCTGAGGTACTTCCATCTCCGATGTTGGATGCAGACTGACGCGCTCCCGGCCATAAGTTTTATTTATGCCTGGGGAGTCGTGGAGGAGAGGGGGCGGAGCATTTTAACGCATGAGTGGTTGTGACTACCGGGGCTGTCCTTGTGTTCCTTAAGATGGGGTTCCAAATTTGTTTGAGCTGCAGTGTCTCTTCTTTCCTATTGAAATTATTTGTATGTTTATGGATTTCTATTGCTTCTCGTATCAGGCGGGCATGATAGCCCGAAGTGGGCGCAAGAAGCCTGACTTCCCCAAAAAGAATGTTGTGATCCCCTTCACTGAGCGCGTGGTCCGCTACTGCCGATTTGTCCGTTTGTCCCAGTCTGCAGTTTCTCTGATGTTCCAGCTCAAACCAATTTGGAACCCCATCTTAAGGAACACAAGGACAGCCCCGGTAGTCACAACCACTCATGCGTTAAAATGTATTCGCTGGTACTTTCTCATTTTAATTATGCAGATGCGGTTTATGATCATTTTTTGGATCAAGATGTGACCAGAATACAAAGTCATTTTTACGATTGATCCAAGGTGCCAGGCGATATAACCGCGTATCGTATAAACCCCGTGATGCAAATAATGCTGTTCTCAATGAAGAAACTGATGCCCACATCTTTTAGGAAAAAATATAAAACTTCTCTTTACAATGAAGCTATTAGTTAAAGATAATTAGCCCAAGTAGATTTCTATTAATGAGATACTGTATAGTTTTTTTTATGTATTCATGTTAATCAATTCATATATTGTAAAACATCCTGACAGGACATAGCGTATATCCTACGGATATACTGTTACAGCTATGGGACATCCTTAAGACGTCTAAAGGATATACGATGTTACTAATTGTAACGCCCACAGTATATCAGATACGTATGTCCGTAGGATGTTTGTTAGGACATACTAAGGATGTCCAGTTATACTAGTTGAGACGACGTTAGTATATCCGACTGTGAGGATATAGGATCTTATATAGATATACCAGACATTCCTTAATTATTAGGTTATTTCCAACCGCCTATGACAAATACTGGAAAAGTAAGGTCCAGTAGTCCAATTGGTTGTGCGACTACTAAAATTCTATCGCAGTATTGAGTACTCGCGGGTCATGGAATTTGTCTTTTGGGTATGGTTCCTGAAATTATCACTGGAGTAGCAGGAGATATTTGAAACGCACAAATTTTTTCCAATTAATATTTAATCTTTAATTTTGCTTTTGATGGTAAAAGCGAAGGACTGCCGATTGATACCATTAATAAAATACATTTTATACACATCTGATTTTTTTCTATTGTAGATATATGTAGGTATATAATATAGCAAAAGTATAGAGCAACCTAACCTAAAGTACCTTAAAAATAGAGTAATATTCATATATCTTGAACTAAACTCTAAAAGAATAACTAAAATTTGTCATTCTATGATAAAAGTAACTTTTTTCAACTAAGCAGGTATTGAATCCTCAAATTTTTTTGATGTTTGTGATGTGTTTGCCTTATTATTCGCACTTGAATTTTTTTTTTTTTTTTGGGAAAGACAAGTTTTATATATCTGTACTTTATAAAAAAAAATAAATAGAACGAAACTGGTATCTTATATGTTTAAAAAACAAATTTAAGAAATCCCTACAGACTTGATTTGACGCTGATAGTACTCTCATGAAAGTGATCTTCGATGCTTATCTCCACGATGACGTAGGTATACATTTATGTATTTCATTTCATTAAATACAAACCTCAGTAAACTCTCATCGCGCGCAAAATACTAGAACAAATATGACTTTGCAGTTTTACAGTAAAGGCCTATTTTCATGAAATATTTTTGTCAACCTAAAAATTTTATTAATTTTTTTTGCTCGTGATGGTACCTACTATCACCATGAAAACAAGCCTTCAAAAAATAGGAATAACGTTTTCATGAATTAACCCAACAAATATTTTTTTTGAAAATTGTACTTTGTAAAGGGTGATTCATAAAATTAATACTTTGTTTTTGCGGGGCGATTCTTGCATCCATTTTAAGAAAAAAATATGCTATATAACTAAAAATATAATTTTGTACGGGGGATTTTCTCTAACATTGCTTACTTTAAAAAAAACTAGTTTAGTTCTACTAGTATGTCTACATTAAACTGTTCAAAAAACATTAAGAGAAAATGGATTTTATTTTTGTTTTCAAAAACTAAGCAATGAGATACGAAAAGAAGTCTAAAAAAAAGATATGTAATCTAAAACGTATATAGGTTACAAAAAAGTAAGTTTTATCTTAACTCAATCCAGCAATCACTCCTTAAAAAAAGTATCAACTAGGCAATCACCTTAATGTATATTTTATTAAATTATATTTCTTACACTTTATTTATGTCACACTTACTTCTCCTTTTTCTTCATTTGAAATATTACTGCTGCCGCCGCCTGATCTTGCTATCCCAACAATGGTTCGTTCAGCTTATCAAATCTTATGTTATATATTACCATTAAGCTTTACTTACATGAATTATTAGTTCTTCAGTAATAACAATACCACAAAAAAATAACAGAAATGAAAGCACCGAAAGCAGTAAGCACAGCACACAAAATACTCAAAATACACGACAAGTCGACCGCCAACAAAAACAAGGCTAAAAAGATGGCGCACGACGAGACGGAGGAGAAGACGACGAGACTCGAGCGAGTCCGGCACGGCACGACCGCGTCATTGGTTACAGCCGAAGCATGTTGTCAAATAGGAACTTATAAACAAATATATTATTTTTCCTTTTTGTGATTCTTTCACTTAGATGAATCCGTATTTTCTGTGGTATTTTTATTAAAATAGCATTTCTTATCTCGTTTGTGTCCAAAAATAATAAAAACAAGTTGATTTTAACGGTTTGATTCCGTTTTTTTTAGGGCTTGCCATCACTGACGTCGATGTAGATGTGCACAAAAACGTTGCCAATAAAATGTCTCCCGAAACACCACAAACCTAAAAAAACCAAGTATTTTCCTTCTCAGTTGTTCAAAATTTAAATTTTTATGTTTCTATTTTAATGTATATATGTATAATGTATATATGTATATATGTGCCGGGACATGCGTCTTAAATGGGACATTGACCGAATATACTGGGGATATTGTGTGCTATCTGGGATATAAATAGCTATAAAATTAGGAAATGGTCATGTTACCTGTTAGAAATAAAGTGCTATTATTCATATTATTTAAATTTTTGACAATAATCGACCTTATTTTCCCAGGACGTTTGGACTGGGTCTCTGGTTGCCAGAATTCTTTGTGCGTTTCCGTCAATTCGAGCTACACCACCCCGACAGGCCCGCCTCAATTTTGGAGTTGTCGAGTCACGTGGATAAGAACGTTACGTGTCAGCCAACCTTCGACGCGTCCGTCACAGTCAGCACCGTCGTCATAGCGGTCAGCGCTATAATATACAACGCCGTCGCGGGCGCGATCGCGACAAAGGTCAGCGCCAAGGTCATCCCGCTCGTGTCCATGGTGGTGGGCGGAGTCAGTTCCGCGACCATCTACTTTTTGACGAGCTCCGTTCAAAATTTGGTAGTCGCCAGCGTGTTCCAAGCAAGCATGCTGACCGCCAACATGACCATAGGGAATATGGTGATCGAGCAGTTTCCGACTAAGGTCACCGGAATGGCGATGTGCGCGATTATGTTTTTCGGCAGGACGGGGGCTATTGTCAGCAATTTTTTGTTCGGTTACTTCATAGACGACCGCTGCGAAATTCCCATTTGCGTGGTGGCGGTCTTGGTGCTTTCGGGGGCATTATTGTGTTGGGCGGTGCCGACGAAGAAGGCGTCTGGCAATAAGGTCACGCACGAGATGGACACAAGGACAGGGACTCAATGTGTACCGAGCTGACCGAAGGAGTTGATAATAAACGTCTAGGAAGGGTTTTTTTTTATTTTTACGAAAAACCTTGGAAATATAAACGATGCAGTGTTTCGAGTTTTATAGTGGAAAAAAATAATTTTAATATTTTTTTAAATAAAAAAGTGGTTGGAGGAGCTGGGATTTGAACCCAGGACTTTCCGCATGCGAAGCGGACACTCTACCACTGAGTTACACCCCCTGCGTGAAGTAGTCGCGAACAAATCCATAAAGCACTCCATAACCATCCCCGTCGTAAATTCCGAAACAATGCCATTATACCCCCAAACAAAATTTATTAAATCCAGAGAGAAGGCATGAAAATCCATTTTGACTCTCTTCAACGCCGCGAAAAAGAGATTTTCCATCTGCTTCATTATCAATCGCGAGATGGCGCAAACTGCGACTGCTATAACCTACAAACTTTATGCAACAACAATGCTGAAAAATACGTTGCTTTTCCTCAAAAACTTCAGGAAATATTCAAATGTTTCACCAGGTATTGAATTCGATATTTAAAAATACCTCCGCACAAGCGTCCCGATTTTAGTACCTAACGTCAAGGAGAAATGGGACGTGCTGACTGCTGTTCTCTTAGAAAGAGGGCCTGTGATAACTCGGGCGATGAACGATCTGGAAAAAGCTTTTAGCGAGTATTTAAGCGCGGTAGAATACGAAAGAAGTTTGATCAACGAGGTGGAATTAAAACTGGAGCAGGAAACGTAAGACTGTTCGCTTGTTGTTTTTCAAAACTTGCTAATGCCAATGATCTAGGAAGGTGTTGCAGTTAACTAAAGAAGCAAATGACATAGATTTGGTTTTGACGCAAACAACGCGGGATGTAATCGATGCCGCTAAAGAGGAACTGCTTCAATTTAAGGCGGCACCAAGGATTACCGGTTAGTTACTAAGGAAAATTTCCTCAGGTTTTACTTGCAGTTTCGTTTCTTTAGACGCTGACAAAAAAGGAGATCAAAGATCTCTCCGTCGCAAGTTAGATAAGCATCTCATTTTCGTTGCTAAGCAGAATATTGGCAATGAGAGTCATTATTTGCTGCCTCAAACTGCAAGGGAGGAGAATGAATCCTTACGGCAATGTGCGGAGAGGATTTTAAATGTAAATTTTGGAAAAGAACTCAAGACGCAAATATATGGCAACGCGCCATGTGGAGTGTACAAGTACAAATATCCTCAAGCGGTGCAAAATGAGAGAAATGTTGTGGGGGCTAAGGTGAGGCGGTATTTTTGTTCAACTTTTAAATAATGTCTCTTGCTTGTTATAGGTTTTCATATACTTCGCAAGATACCTGAGCGGACAGGTTCCCGAGCAGAAACATGATTACATGTGGCTGGATCGAAATGAACTGAAGAAAGTTTTACCCGGTCCCTACAAAAATTGTGTTTTATCTGTCATGATAGATGATTAATTTTTGTTCCTCAAATATACACTTTAGTTATAAACATGCACATTAATGTTTTAATTCCGAATTAAAGGTTTTTTTGTTTAATTTAATTTTGTATTATAAAACAAGCAGACTATAAATTTCAGAAAATCCCGACGGAATAGTGCCAACGGGATTATTTAATTTTAGTAGCCTGCGAAGAACAACACCGATATATTTTGAGCATCCGACAAAAAACTTCTGTCAGCATTAGGGGATTCGGTCAAACACAGAATTAATTAATAAAGGAGGCCAAAGCACAGAATATTTTTCTGACAGTATAAGTTGTGCCATCTATTCACACTCCATAAAACTTTTGGCATTCATGATTTTCAGAGTCGATAATATATGACGCTGTTATTATTGCAAATATGGGGGGGTTTAATATTATTTTTGAAGAAACCTTTCGACTATAAGGAAGAGGTGGCGTATAGTTTTGGTTAGTTTTCAGATAACACAGCTGAAATTATTACTTGTTTGGGAATCGTCTTTTATTTGCAGCATCTAACATTTTGAATTTTGCAGTATAATGTTTAGATTAAAGTTGGGGGCTGAAATAAAATGAAAAATCGAGTACAATTATAATATTAATGTGTATAAAGAATACTTTGGTATACAACAATCTATATTTAAATAATATAAATGTTATTTATTTTTTGGGTTGCTACTGCCATCTACTCACGGCACTCATGTACTTGATTTCAGAAAATCCTGCCCTAATAGTGCCAACGGGATTTTTTAAATTTTAGTAGCCTGCGAAGAACAAAACAGATATATTTCGGGCATCCGACCAAAAAGTTCTGTCAGCATTAGTGGATTCGGTCAAACACAGAATTAATTAATAAAAGAGGCCAAACCACAGAATATTTTTCTGACATTTAAGTTGTGACATCGATTCACACTCCATAAAACTTTTGGCGTCCATGGTTTTCAGAGTTGATAATAGATGACGCCGTTATAGATGCAAGATTGATGCGTAGATTAATAATATTTTTGAAGAAACCTTACGACTATAACGAAAAAGGTGGCGTATAGTTGTTTTCAGATAACACTGCTGAAATTAGTACTTTTTTGGGAATCGTCTTTTATTTGCAGCATCTAAAATTTTGAATTTTGAAATATAGTGTTTAGATAATAGTTGGCGGCTGAAATAACATGAAAAATCGAGTAGAATTATAATATTAATGTGTTTAAAGCTGCAAGATTGGTGGTATACTTTAGTGTACAACAGTCTATCTTTAAATAATTTAAATGTTATTTCTTTTTATGGGTTGCTACTGCCATCTACTCACGGCACTCAGAAGCCATGTACTTGCAGTTTGATAATGCGGTCGTAGGTGGCGACGTACAAAAAGTTATCGCTAAGTTTGTTGCTGCGCCACTGATCAAGCAGTGACAATCTCATTATATTTATGGTTTTCTAAATATTTTTTGCAAACATTTAACATAAAAGCTTTGTTTCAGAAATTACAGTGGCGCGATCTAGCCAGTACAATCAAAGTCCGATTCGGGTATAATGTCTTCTACAAGCCGAACGAAATCATCATAAGGACAAAATGTGTCGCATCCGGGGAGACTGAGTGCCCTGGGCTCCTTGGTTTCGTAATTCTGATAAAAAAGCTGAAACATTCGTTGGCAACAAACTTATAACATCATTTTTCATTGTGGGGCTTACCTTTATGCCCCACACCCCTTCTATTTTGTGCAGTTCGACGATAAAATATGAGCCGTAAGCTGGCACGTCTCTCAGCTCGAAAACGTCCAGTGAGAGCACAAGGCCCGCGATATTTTGCTCGTGCGCAGAATACAGGAACAGTTTCCTGGTCGAAGGCGTCAGCGTCCCATTAATTTTCCGTTCCGTGTCTGAGAGCACTTTCTTTAAGTAATACCCTTAAAGGAAACAAGGTTGTTATTTTTATCCGAATACTGGCGAATGCGCCAGAATAATATTTGCTCCTATCTTAAATGAATTCATGATAAAACGGCTGTAGATGATTGAATATCAAACATTATATGTGTATATTACCCGCCATGATCCGCCTTAGCGGCGTGTTTATTGTTTCCAAGTAGTAAAAATCTACCGCTAATGATTTCAAAGGCTCGGGGTATACTTTTTGCGTCCACTCGTCGAGAGGGAGACCCAGTTCCTCCTATAAAACTCCCGAAAATGTCACTCGGTTTGATAGATTTATCGTATTCCGGCGTACCTGAACCACCAGGGTTAAGTAAACGCTAAAAGCGTTCAGCAAACTGGCGGATCCGGTGTTATTAACCAAAACCTCTAAGATCTTACTGTAACGGGCTTCTATGTAGGCGGAGGTTTCTTCACTGGATATTACAGCGTTCAGTTCAGCGAGGAACTTTGTACTGCAGGCTCCAAACGGCCCGAACAGCTCCTGGCAAGAGAGAATACTGTACACTGTATAATTATGTTTTTACGAATTTTGGGAACATTTTCGGTAACGAACCAAAAAGGACAATTGACAGACCTTTAAAGTAAAGTCTGTTCATAGATATAAGAAAGTGACTAATTGATACTAATTAAGGAAAGACCCGGGCAAGCTGTAAGAATAAAATATGGCCTAACAGGTCCCCACTTTGCTTAGAATTTAATTATTTAAATTTTTGTTAGGAAAGATACTAAACAATTTATTTATGTATGAATTTATGTTTAATTCTAAAATAAAATTACAATTTTTTTTATTACCTACTTAAATTACTTAAAATTATTTACATAATATATCAGTATCACTATCGCTATCATCGCCTGTTCTAATTATTATTTGTTCTATATTATTTGCAATATGGATATACGATTGTTCTGCTTTTTCTATATGTTTAACAGAATTTGCCGAAATTTGTGGAGGGATGTTAAAAACTTCGGTTTCTATAAGTTTGAGGACATTGGAGTTAACACGGGGAAAAACATTGTTACGGCGAATGGCAGATTTCAGTTGGTACCAAACATGTTCAATGGGATTAAATATACTGTGAAAATAAATGTCGTTATTATACATGTAGTTTTGGATTGTTGCTTTTGTGTCACGTGAGGAAGGGACTTTAGTCAACTGTCTGCTGTGATAACTTGCATTGTCCATTATAATTAGTTTGTTTTTAAACCAACTTTCAAATAAATCAGCGGTGGTGTCCTCATGGTAATCCAGAGAAAAATCTTTAATATTTTTCGCAGACAGAGAAAGTCCATTTGGAATCCAACCATCTTTAGAGCCAGCATGCAAAATAGTTATTCTTTTACCTCTTTTTGATGGCGCGTTTGTTTTACACTTATCAGTTGAGTCAAGCCAACCTTTTTCCGGAGTATCACAAGTTTCGAACCAAGTTTCATCCAAGTAAATAATTGGCCTTTGTTGTTCTCTGAAAATCCTAATTTTTTCTAGATATTCCAGTCGCTATTTCCGAATTCTAGAAGATTCTATTAAAACTTGCCCTTTGTCAATTTTTTTAAATCCAAAACCCATGTGTTGAATACACTTCCATAAGGTAGTTCTGCCACATTTAACACCGGTTTCATCTTTTTCAAGCCTTCTATATCTTAATCACTTTCATCTACACTCGAGAAAATGTCAGCATCGCTTCTTTTTTTCGTTTCTGAAATGGGATTAAGTTACCGTTTCTTCTAAAGATGCTTGTTTGCTGGCACCACGTTCAATGAGAGTCAAATAAACATTGTTTATAACTTCCTTAGTCTCAATAGAATAGAGTTTTCTACATTTGGGCGGGAGCATCTCCTGAGATACACTAGACTGGCACATATTTTGCATAATTCGCAAACGATTCAACACACGAAATAAGAATGATTACTAATAAACTTAAACTAAGTAGTATACCAAATCAAAAAATATTAAACACAGGTAGATATAAAATTATTTTCTATTACGGACCACAATTTTACCTGAAATTTAAATCTTGTTGCATTGTATGTTGATGACCACCCTTGGATAATCCCATTCAAAAGCAATTGGTCACTTTCTTATATCTATGAACAGACTATACCTAGTTTTAGTCGAAAGTAGTTTTTTTATATACTACGATGGTATTAGTCGATTTGTAGATACAAATATTTTAAACCCTGTCCATACAATGAAGAATCAGACACGAACCTTGTCTTCTGTGACAGGTAGATAATTGTACGGTATGGGCTGCCAATTTAGGAGAAGGTTCCACTCGTTTACTCCGGTGGGCGGCCATAGGCCGGCCAGGCTGAGCTGGATCGACATTTTTGTCCTGTCCAGGTCTGTACTCCTCGCCTCGATGAGGTCTATGTTCCAAACATCGCCCAGGAACTCCCTGTACCGTTGCCGCAACTCCGAGCCTAGGTTGTACTCTGTTTGTTTGCCTTCCTGGGACGATATGAGCGGTACGAAAGTTTAAAATGAGTTAAGTTAAAGTTAAATACACTTACATTTGTCAACTGCCCAAAACCGTAAGGCAAATAGTAGCTCTCGTTCGTGAATCGGTTACCTTCGTAAATGCTACCGGCATCGGGAGTTCTGTCGCCGTGCCTATGAACCTGGAATGCGATTCCTCAAAGGTCTTCTGGGTAGCTTGGAGGAGGGTGGGGGCCACATGGCACCATTTGGAGAAACTAACAGTAGTTACGTACCACGTGTACTAGTTCCAAAGTAGAACGCGGGCGTTTGAGCCGTGGTAATGCTATCGACGAAGACCACAACGTCAGTAATACCGCCAGCAAGACGCCGATGTCGTTCATTCCGTCGACCTGTGATATCACCAAATGGATAAACGTGTACTTTCCAGAGACACCGGCATTTTATTCATATCAATAAATCGAACTATTAATCCAGCCGATTAACAAAAACGATCGTTTTTATTTTTAACGTCTTAATTATTTGACCACTTTTATATGGACGGGGCGACGAACTGTTTTTGGCTTTTGTGTAACAGAAAAATGCAATAGGACGTGATACTTTATAGATGAACAAGTATGTTAGTCCTCATTGGAATTATAGACTTACTTGTAACATTTCCATCCACTACCGTTGGCCAAACGCGATAACATTTTGCTCTTTAATGACCATATTTTTTGGCAAACTTTAACTATCGTTTAGTGTAATACTAATTAGCTGTTAGCCAGCGCCTATTAGTCGTATAGTAGTTTTCCTTGTAACGGTAAAGTGATACAGACGAGACGCGGGGCACTTTTATGCCTTTTCAAAGGATTTTTCAAAGTTATTAATTTAGAGTTAGAAAAAATGTCCAATTTGGTCCACCTCATGATAATTCCAAGGCAATTCGCGACTTCCGATATACAGGGCGTTTCAAAAAACATTTTATACCAACCCAATTATAACAACTGTTAATTAATAATTCCTTACGCTTTAGGCTGGTGTCCGTTGGGATGTAGATCTAATCTGAAAGACTGTTTTCTTTAATATTCTATATATCAGTATGTGTACAAAACGAAAATACAGAACTCATTTCACATCTTTCTTTACATTTTCAGGGTGCCGCTCACTCTTCTTCTCTTGTCACAGAACACAGACTGTTCTTCACGTTCCATGCACAGTGTTGCCACACATATAATGGACATTATTAATAACTTTAGTTTCAAATTAAGTTTAACATGTGTCGGAATTTTTTAAACCTTTCCACAGGTAGCGCTTTAATTATATCTATAACGTTTTCCTTGACACATTCATGTACATTATGATAATGAACTTCGACATGTTTAGAATTTTTAGTAAAATCGCCATTTCTATAACGTTTCGTTTCATTAATTTAACATTATAATTCAATAAATCCGCAATAAATTTTAATTCACTCACCGCTTCCGATAATGCTACATACTGCGCAAATGTTGAAGCTTTTGTTTGGATCTTTGTTTTCTATATTTCCAATATATAGCATTTCCAAATAATCTTATCACATAACCCGTTGTTGATTTTCTGTCGTTTATATTATCACCAGCCCAATGGGCACCAACATAACAATAAAAAATGTTCACATTATCATTTCTTTTAAAAATCAACTTTAAGTTTTTGGTCGAATACAAATATTTCAAAATTCGCAAAGCGTATTTGTAATGTGTTTCATTATAACAATTTTGATATCTACTCAAATAATTTACACTAAAACTTATATCTGGTCATGAAGCTGAACTAATATAAAGCAATGCACCAATCAAATTTCCATATTTTAGGTCTCTGTCACAAGTATCAGACTTTTTAATTTTAAAACTTACTTCCATGGGAGTGTTGTACAGTTTGGTTCAATTCTATTTTATATTTACTGGGCTCATATTCAACGGTAATAACAAGGTATTTTTTAATTTTATTTGACATTAAACTTTTTTTTTATTTCAATTTCATTTTTGCCACAAATTCGTAAGTCATCCACAAAAATTAATAAATAAATGATTCCATTTCAGTCTACATAAGTATATAAATAATTATAAAAATTTTATAATTTTCAAAAATTTATTCAGACATTCATACCATGATCTAGGAATTTATTTTAAGCCATACAAAGCTTTTTCAAGTTAACATACCTTATTTGATCCATTTTCATAACTTTTTAGTAGACGAATATAAACTTCAAAATTTACTACTACTTAGTAATCTAGCTTTATAATTATTATCAGACTTTCTCCTAATTAACGTCCAAAACTTTATTATTAACAAACTTTTCAACTATTTTCCAAGTTTCATTTTTATTTTCAATTTTCTTATCCATCGCTTTAAACTAAAATTCGATTTCTTTTGATTCTATCGCTTCCTCAGATGTAGTTGGTACATCAGCTTTACAAAAATTTACAAAGATACCCTTGATACTACGTCTCTGAGATTTACAAACTTCAAGATCAATTTAGAATGAGAATTTTTAGTAATATTATTCACATTGTGGTAGTTTTCAGCGATTGCATCGATATCAGAATTATCGCTAATTTCATTACTCTCATTATCATATTCTTCTCCATTCAAACCAATACATTTTACATTTTCCTCAACAATATCAGTATGTCTAACAACTCTATTGTTTAAAAGTACACAATAATCGACGCCACTGTACCCATTTAAAATACGCATATCGGCCTTTTTGTGCCATTTAGAAATTCCCTTTTCTTCCGGTTTTCTTACAAAAATTTGACTGTCGTACCCACGTAAATCGGATATTTTTCCAAAAATTATTTCAAATGACATTTTTTTTCTCAACGGTATTTGATAATGTAAGATTTTTTAAATAAATTGCTGCGCAAATACTTTCAGGCCAGTACTTTTTATCAACATTTGATTCTGCTAATAAACAACGCGACATATCCATTTCTATTAATTTTTTTCTCTAAAAGCATTAAAGAACCAGTTTTTGTTGCTTTCACAACTCCGTTATCACCCAACTGAACATTTACAGATTCTTTAAGTATCTTAAAGTTTGCAAAATATTTTTCATCTTTATGTGATCCGTACAAGCACTATCTAACAACCATTTCATTTCATTGCGGTCTACGTTATATACCTCTGCATTGTAAGCCACACGATGAGCAACTGTTGTCACCCACACACTTTTTTCCTCTTGATACTGCCATCTTTGTCAGTGCTCAATTTCGCTCTTTGGATCACAACGAGGTTGCAAATCCCATTAAAAGAAAATTGATTTCGAAAAATCGTCTGATCTGTAATATGCGCTGCGCAGCCTACAAAGTCACTACGCAGCTTTGTATTTTAAAGGCTTTTTGTCCTAGAGCCACCGATCACTATGGAACTTTCGCTAAATCGGTATAATTTTATTGTGCATGCACCTTGCATAAAATGACTTTCATATCTCGCCGAACTTCAAAGTTACGACAAACTTTGATAAATATAAAGACTGTAATATCTTGCGTGTCATGTCCGTCATCGCTTCTAGATTGAGGGTGATTTTAATTTAGATTATTTCAAACATCTCGAAAACCGTAAATACAAAAATTGTAGCTTTTGATGCGGTCTACAATACAATTTTACAATTACTCTGGGAAAGAACAATTTTCAGGGTCTTTTAGATTTTTATTCATAATTGAGAAATCGATCGGCTAAATAGTTTTCGAGAAAAATATATTTTTCTAGAAGCAGATATAACCAAAAAAAAATATTCCTAATTTTTTAAAAATAGGTCACTTTTGATGGCGCCCAACTTCCAATATTTAAAAAAATTATATTTTATATTATAGCACAAAATATCCGGATCCGGATGTTATAGAAACTGACAACTAAAATACACCCTCCTAGTTATAACCAATTGTCCTTAAAAGAAGAACGCATTTTTTAGTGTTTTGTAAATTACCGACGCACTCCGTACATTTTCAAAAAATGATGTTATTCGGAATGATTTTTTGGACTCGGATCTCGCGCGTCTATTCGCTGAACAACCGTTTCGATATTTGTTATCGTTTTTTAGAAATAACCCCTCAGTGTCACCAATTTCATTAGGTTCCGTGAAGGGACCAAGGTCAATACGTGTCCCAAATTTGAAGTCGATAGCTTTAATTTAATTTAAAAACTGTGGAAAAAAGTGGAAAATGTTTAAAAGGAGCTAAATTTCAGCTCCCTTGCTCAACCGTTCGGAAGTTATTCGCATTTTTATAAAGCGTCGACAGAGAACAGAGAACGGAGAATAGACAAAAAGTAAAACCGTTTTTTTTTCGACGTATCGTTTCCGAGATATGAGTTTCGTTGCAAAGCGCGTATATTTTCGAAAAATTTGATTTCATGGTACGCTACGAAGTTATAGAATTATACTACTAGCCTTTGGAAAATTTATGTACTGTGGGCTTCAAATATTACCAAATAGACAAGAGACAATAGAGACAAGTATTTTAAAACTTGTTTTGGCATTTCATTAAATTAATTAAAATCTTGTATTCCGGTATTATTTTCTTCTATCCGCAGTCCGACCCTGCACTTCATCTTTTCATATTCCTCATTTAGAGTATATGTTTGTTGTCAAGCGCTCTTCTCTACACAACCAAAACCATTTATGTGAAAGAACACTATAAAATACTGTAAAAATACCGTTATTTATAAAAACCATTCACTAATTTAGATACGCTTAGCTATTCCCGGTCTCATATTAACAGATATGCGGTTTTATTTAGAAACCGAGCGTACTTTTTTTCCCCGCATTCGTCCTTGGGATTAGTTAGCCGGATAGCATAAAAACTTCAAAACTCATTAATCTTAATTACAATAACGGTGGCTCGACGAAGTCTTTATTTTTAAGCGCCTTATCTTACACCCGTTTATTTAGGATTCGGTTTCGTAATCGGCGAATTGAGATAAATGTCTCACAATTTAGCGGTAACTCTGGATCATAACCGTGACGTAGGAGTAAGAAGCCTTCATTATCTGAAATCCAGAGAAAAGTTGACGCCATTTTCCCAAACGCCGCGGCGTCATAAGTACCGTCAAAGACGATTCGACGGTCATCGCGTCGAAAGGTCCGATGGTCAGCGTCAGGGGTCTCTGCGATCGCGTTAAGGCTACGAGCAGCAGTCCTTTGACTTCTTGGGTTTGCTCGTACCACGGGCTTTCGTACAGAGCGTCCGCCATCATCAGACTCTGCAAAACATGCGCCGTCATCGTCGGTGGTGATATATTGGGTTTTCCCTTACGGTATGCTAATTTTTAGGGGTGCTCTCAAGTGTGTATAGGAGTGACTGCGAGATTATTTCTTGTAGAGCGCGCCCTTAACCCTTTGCACTCGTATGTCGTCGTATAGGTGGCACACCATTACTTATTGCAGCAGGTTGGCCGACCTGTCATCCGCTAAGCTCATTTCTAATATTTCTCAATTGCTTTCTAGAACTAGTTGAGGACATGTTTACGTAAACATAAAAGAAAGCATGATATTTATTTTATACATGCCATCGTAAGCTGTTTATTTTATATCTGTTGATGTATACATTTCAACCACTTCAGTTCATATGTGCACCATGTTTTCATTTTGAATATTACTCAGTTTTATAACTAACATGATTGGGTAAAGTTCGGTGTATATTTCGAAAAAAAAATATTTCAAATGCCTATGAAATTTTCAAAAGATGAAATTGTAAATGAATTGCAAAGTAGTGGCGACGAAATTTATATTGACGTGCCTGAATAGTGATAATATTAGTGACTCTATTAGTAGTAGTGATACTTTAGATACAAGGAGACCGTACCTTTACCATCAAGTTCTAGCAGCACTGAAGAAAACAAATGAGCTAATAATAAAAACAGTGGAACAAACAAATAATTACGTTAGACATAAAATAGCACAGAAGAGGTTGTTAAAAAGTACGTAGATACTACAGTAGAAGAGTTTACCGCATTTATGGGGGTTGTCCTAAATATGAGTACGATAATCTTATCTAATTTCCAAGAGTTTTGGTCACAACATTCTAACGCCAAAATACCTTTTTTTAGTGGCATATTTGGGGGAGAACTATACAGAAAGTTAGACACTATTTAGACTATTTGGACAAGCAATTCAAATAACATTTTGTTATATGAAGAGAGATAACTTAACACCGGATATGTATGTTTTTTCAATTTTGCGTAGTAAGGAAGCTTGCCATCAGAAAATTTTGAAGATAACACGTTTGCATGCAGATCAGGTAATTTGATGTTATTGGCACATTTCAAGAACACAACCTATCATCAGAAGAGTACATCGAAGTAACTTACAAATTGTAAATAAGCAGTCAATTACAATAAATTTATGGGAAGTGTCGACTGCACAGACCCTTATTCAGCATCATACTGTTTCCTGAGGAAGTCTTTAAAATGGTGTCAAAAGTTATTTTTCTGGGGACTCGAAATGTATAGTTTCAATGCGTATTTATTATTTAAAATTTGACCAATGACACATCTAAAGTGATTGACGAGGTGACAAAAAACTTTCGGCAGGGCTTCAAAATTTCTGGCAGACCCGGATCTGTAGATACAGAAGAGCGGCTAAATGGTAAATTACATATTTTACGCCAAAATGATTTAAAGAAAAAAGACTGTGCGGTATGTTCTAACCGTAAAGTTCAAGGCACAAGGGGGGAAACTTTTTGTAACACTTGCACCCGTACACATTGGTGACTGCTTCGAACGGTACCATACACTACAACATTATAGGATGTAATTTTTTTATATTGTGTATGAATTTATTTAATAATAATGGTAGTGATTATGATAATAATAATGAAATATTTGTTTAATTAAAAAAAAAACAATATAAGAAATCCAAGTAGACAGATAAGCAGATAAAATAATAGTACAGTGTACTCGCGAAAGGACATATATCCGAGTGCAAAGGGTTTACCGTTAGCATCTTTAGTAAGGGATGCCCTGGTATAAAAGTGCAAAATATCACCTGTATTTTAACCTCGTTGGCGTTCCATCCGAGGAAGAACGTCTGCACCACCAGTAGACCCAAGTAGCACACCGGAAACGCCATAGAAATGTTGCGTTCCGACTACAAAAGCCAGGAAAATAAATTTTCCAAGAAGCAAAACGCCAAAACTTCGCGGCTGCTAAACCACATGTCACCTTAGCAGCAGAAGCAAACTTTAAAAATCACAGGTCGCGGTGTCTGTGTCTAAGAGTTTATCGTCCTCATAAAAAAAAGTCGGACTGTAAAGTCCTCGATGCAATATAAATTTAAGCGTGACTAGGTTTGGAACGTCGATATTTGAAAACCCACCTTAATGAACTGTATCGACACCGAAGCGAAATTCAGGGAATGAAGAAGATACTCCAGAAGTATGAGGTTCTTCATTGCGGCATTCAACTGGTCTACAAAACTGATCAAAGGTTCACTAAATGCAACAGCGATCCACAGAGTGACACGTAGAAGCCCAGAATAGGTAAACAAAATCAAGATTCAAGACGTTACGGGTCACCCGTTATAACTACGTACTCAATAACCTTCTGGTGCTCCAGTACCAGGTCCCTCAAAGTAACCACGACGTCGTCGCCGTAGGTGACCATTTTCCTGAACCGGATCTGCATGATCTTGATCAACGATGTGGCGAATATCATGCAGGAAATAAAAACGAGCTGGGTGCTGGAAACGAGCGAAGCAGCTATGAGTACAGACAGGTCGTTTGTAGCTTCCAGCACACTCTCCGCCATTTTCCTGTCCAAGCCCGCGTAGTACAGTTCGTAGGTGAACGACTTCGATATGGTGTCGTTTCGCAATCGGTTATGTTGCTCCACCTGGCGGCATTGCACGAAGTTCCCTACAATCATGGACGTTGCAACGGTCATGGTGACTGAGAAAATAATTAGGTTGGATCTTCTGCAGAACTTTGCCTGCTCGAAATAACAACGAGCCACGTCCTCATCTGGCGAGTGTCTAATCTTGGTCTCCTCTGCGAGGATGTAAGCGATGATGCGTTTTATTCTTGCGGTCTGGATCAGTTTGGCTTTGATCTCGACTGTCCATAGAGTAATCATTAGCGTTATAGTCCTGAATACCTTTTGCGGGGCGGCTTTGAACTCTTCGTCGAAGCTCAACATGATGGAGAACTGGATGGTTAAGGACGTTAGAAATACAGGGAAATAAATGAAGACAAATGTCGAGTAGAGAAGATACAAGAAACGTATAAGTCGCTTCGAGCTCGGTCCGAATCGCCATATTCCCGCGTAAGTCATGTTAAGTCTGGAAAAATCCAGCATCGATCGGTTCGGCATTATGTGGTTCGTGTAAGCACCTCTCGATCACAAATGAAACGCTTTCGGAATATTTAATATCAGTTTTCGACGTATCTCGGTCTAGTGAGGGGAAAGTTTCGAACTTACATTTCATGCATATTTAAAGCAAGCTGTTAAATTTTAATGGGAACACATTTAATTTTAACATCGAAGATAAGGATATTATTAAGTATTGACCATCAAAAATTAAAATATCAAAAGTTTTAATCAGCGGTAAAGCAGCTTAACTTATACACGCCTGATTGGATTTGGGTATGATATTTTTTAAAAGGGCCCGGAAATCCGTCAGAGGACAAAAGTATCCACAACTGGGCAGTTTCAGACGATGCAATCCGCTGGTCGAATAATCATCGTAGAACAACTAAAATTTATTCAAATCAATGTATAAATGCTTGAGTCCTTCAATTCATACAATACCCTGACTCCGTGGACCCCATCCATGTTGTGAACTTCCAGGATGACGTAGGATCCGTAAGGGGGCACATCGGTGACGCTAAAGGTGTCCAGCGACAGTAGAAAGGTAGCCAAGTTGATTTCGTGCGCAACGTACACGAACATTTTTCTTCCCAGCGGCTCAAGTTTACCGTTGGTTTGCATCTCGCTGTCGAGCAGAATTTTCTCAATAAAGTAGCCTGCAATTTGCGTTACCAATGTTCAATAGATCAGTAGCAAGAATATAACTGCTCTGCATCCTCCGTTCACCAGGAAACATCTCGAGTTATAATAAAAGTACAGCTTCCTAAAATCTAAATGTGCTGCCATCTATGGACGAGTGACGAAACTAACTCCGAATTCTCTGGTTAGGTGTCTGTAATTTTTTTAATACTCAGGATTTATAAAGGGGGACCGGTGATGCAGAACCGTGGTATTCCTACTACTTAAATCGAATAAATACCGGCCATTATTTGCCTCATCCTCGTCGTATTCGACTCGAGATAGTAGTAATCCACAGCCAAAGACCTTAGAGGTTCGGGATATATCGCTTCCGTCCAGCTTTCCGGCGGGAATCCCAGTTGATCCTGAAAATTACCGGTGATATCGAATCGCCACGCCTTTGACTCACCTGGATCAAGAATCCGAAATACAACACAAAAGCTTCGGGAGACGTGAAGTTTCTTTTCAAATTCAGCGACATAATCCTCAGGGTCTCGTCGTATCGCTTCATGTACTCGGCGATCCGTTTGTCTTCTAAAATGTGGTTGAGTTCCTCCCAGAACTGATCTGAGCATGCGTTGAACGGGTCCAGTTCCTGATGAAGGGTCAACAATTTCCAATGTCAAACCTGTATACCCGGAAGCTAAGCACCACAGAGTTTTAAGGCTAAAGATCAAGTCTTATCGGGTTCAAGAAATAGAAAAATATTTTGAGATCGTGAATCTTACCCGATCGTTTTCAGCAGGCACGTAACTGTAGGGTATCGGTAACCAAGGGAATGTAGGATCCCACTCCTGATCGTTCGATGGCGGCCACAACCCGGCCAGCAAGGCGGCCGCCGACATTCTGGCGCGGCTTTTGGCGGTACTACGTACTTTTACGATTTTTACGTTCCACTCCTTTCCGAGAAACGCATCATACCTCAGTCTCAGACGTTGACCCACCCGATAAAGTGTTTTAATTCCTTTCTTTGGTGGAATAGAATGAGAATAAGAAGAATAGTGCTAGAAAAAAGAGAACCAAAGTGGCGACTTAAAGAGTTCCTTACGTTTGTTAGTTGACCGTAGCCGTAGGGCGCGTAGAAACTCTCGTCGAGGTAGGGATTACTGGGGTAGAGTTCCGAGAGGCTCGGATTCCGGTGTCCATGCCGAACGAGCTAAAAGTGGACACCATTTTCGGCATTATTAAATGCGAGGCTAAGGTCACCAAACGTACCACGTGTACTAATCCTAGCGTATCAGTAAGCGACGAGCTGACGACTTTACCAAGTAGTAGGACAATTATCAACATATTGTTACTCTCGCGGTCGCTGTACGCCGTTCGACTGAATTGTGACCCGTTCGGTCAATCATTCGCGTGAATTATAATCAATTAAAACTGCCTGTGTAGTCTAGAAAGTATACAGAATGTCTCGGAATGCTTCGATAACGTGACAAACAAAAAAAACTGTTTTCTAAATGATAATGATAATAACAGAGTTAATGGGACGGTTATTGTGAGCCCTAATGGAAAGAAGTAAATATAATTCCGATTCCCGACGTCAATAATCCAACCAAATTTAACGAGCTGCGTTGTATTTCGATTTTACACACATCGTGAATGAATAATGAAATATTTAGGACTAGTTAAATCTGTCGTACTGCACCGAGAAAGAAAATGGTATAGCAAAAATTTTGCTGGATTTTACCAGCGCCTTTGATAAACCTTTTTTTTTAATTTACGTTTTAGTGGCTTTGGTAATGACGCTTTAGAGTTAGTTTATATATATTTTTTATATTTACCTAGAAGAAAACAAACAGCGGTGATGGATGAAAATGTGCCAGAATCTCTTGACGTTACCTATGGTTTTAAATCCTTTATTATAGACAATTTCTTCTCCATTTCCTAATTCCTTACCCTCTTCTGTGAAACACCTAATTATACACTATATCTAAAGTGCGGAAAGCGTCACTTTAGCACGTCAATTTCTTTTCTTACGGATCCGAGCCCTTTGGGAGCAATTGATTGTTTTCGGAGATTTGACTGCACGACTTCTGATGTTTGTCGTTTCTGACGGTCATGTCATTAAATGTATTCGTGTTGTTTTGCAAAAACGTACCCAAAAGCTCACGGTCATAGAAAAAGGAAAATATGCAATACGTTTGGCAAACTTTTTAAGTCACTCGTTTATTACATAGTCGCTCCGCTGAACTCCGTTAGTGTCAAATTCAATGGTGACTCAATAACAAAACTAAAATAAAACATATTTATACTCCTACTACCGCTGATTTATAACAGTTATATTTATTGTTTCATTATCTACACCTATTGATAACATAGTTTTTGTTGTTGATCTATTATTTTAATTTTTTTGTAATCTGCAACAGCTCTTGCGTAGATGGATTGAAGAAAGCTACAATCACAGCCATTTAAGCCACTGTTTGATTTCATTGATTAATTATTATTTTATTTCTCTATTGAGTTAATAAATTTGTTCCACTCCATTCTGTAAAATACTTAAATTATTGTTATTATTAACTTCGGTCGGCCATTTCGCACATTTCCAGGATATTACCGCACAGATTTGGGAGAGAACAATCGCACGGCTTCAATTTTAACGTTGGTGAATTCTGACGATCATGTCAGTGAATGTATTCGTGTTGTTTCGCAAAAATGTACCAAAAAACTAACGGTCGTAGAAAAAGTATAGTAAACAACACGTTTAAATTAGTGTTTACAATAAAATACAAATATCGAATACAATTTTTGCGGTTAAACACCAAACAAAGTCACGGAAAAGGTGCTTTAGGTTGTTACGGAAAAGGCGTACAACACGTGAACAATATGTTCGGTTCTCATAATTTATTATTAACGTTAACTAGCTCTAAACAACAAGTGTATGGGTATCGAATACGCGATAAACATTAAGGCAGTGTTCATTCTACAAACGCAAAGGGACGATCGACTATGGGAAAGCGTCGTATTTCCACCACCGCAGGGGAAACTTTCCAGGAATTCGCTAGCCATACCAGCGTACATGGGTTCAAGTACCTAGTGGATAAAAACCTGGAAAAATACGAACGGTATATACGGGTGCTTCATAATGCTGATTCTTAATGGTGTGGTTATTCGGAGGCCATGTACCATCACAATGCATGAAAACAATTTTTTTGAGGGGAAAATTATTTGTCTGCTCTAAGTTTCCAAAAATAAAAATAAAAAACATTTGTGTCGATATCGCTAGACGCATATGATTTTAAACTCGATTTGATCCTTTTAACAGAATGAAACCTTGTTGGAAACAGACTGTTGTTTAAGATTCAGAATATTTCAGATGTGCTTGATGATTTTTGGTTGTTGGTAGAATAGCTTTCTGACCTCTTTTTAAAATCATAATTAAACCAAATTTTAAAAATGTCATTTATTTTTGAAAAAAATAGTGGCATGCCATTTCTTCGATAAAAATATTCAGTGTCATGCTTACGCCGACGGCACTGATGAAAGTAGAAAAACAGAAAAATCTAAAACACAGCTTTTAAAAAAATATTTAAACACCCTCTGTATATCAAAAATAAAGCGACTGCGGCACTCCATTGCAAGAAGCTTTTTTTCTTAACATCTTCCAATCCTTCCATCTACGTCAAAAGTAGCAGCTGATAATCATTGCATTATGGTAAAAGCTTCTTTTTTAAACTTTAACTTCTCAAAATTTTCTTCTTTTAATCACGTACATATTACCTTTAAGTTCAGTTAAGGTTAAGTGAGAAGATAAATACGTGGGACTATATAATACGACCAAAAATATAGTGCTTTGCCTGAGATAGGCCGTAACAAATATTTGTAAAAACTTGAAATTTTTATTCGAAACCCAAATGGACTGTTTTAAATTTAATTAAGCGTTGATGCTGCGGGGAATCTTCCAATAAGTAGAAGCGTTTATTTTAAGATCAGGTAATATGTATCGTCCTTAAGAGTTTAATCTAAATTGCAATATGTTCTATATATTTTACGGAGGTATTTGGCTGGGATCCTTCTAGTAAGTACGTATTTATGTACCTGATTCTCAAGCTGTGGCCCTGCGAGACTGTTTTCACTCGATAGTTCAAAGGGCAAGAGTAAGTTACCTATACTCTATTTATCTTACAGCATTTTTGTCTTGTGCGCCTGTCGATTAACAAAATTCTTCTTCTTATATTTTTGTGTCTTCTATATAGTTCTTCGATTTGTAAACAACAACACTCTTTTTTAAGACTATAGATTAGGTAGTGAGGTAGGTAGATAAAGGTACGTCATAAGAATACAGAAAAATATTTATTACAATCTTACGATCAAACATTTCTTGAAGGTTCCTGTTTTTTAACGCTTTGAAATGTGGAGACCGTAGAATGAAGCAAATGTTCCCCTGGAAAACAAAGCAGAATTTGAACACGAAGTGGAGATGGTAGTCGAACTTAATGACAATTTGTGTATTACTATAAAAACATGACCGCCGAACTATTTGACCATCGCCAAATACTATTATTGTGTTGGAAAATGCCTCGTATCATTCAGCTCAAATTAGAAAAATTCCAAATACTTCTTGACATAAAAAACAAATTACAGAATTTCTGTACGAAAATGATTTATATAGATTTATAGAGAGCTACACGAAAAAACAACTTCTGGAATTATTACAAATGAAACATTTCAATGAAAACTACAAAATCGATTCGATAGCACAAAAGGACGCGAAACCTTGAGATTACCCCCGTATTATTGTATATTTAATTCGATTGAGATGATTTCATCTGAGTTGAAAGCGCATACAAGAAGAAATAACACTGCACCAAAATTTAGTGATAGTATTATAAACGTAATTCGACAAGAAGTAGCTAAAATATCAATACAAAGCTGGTCTAATTTGGAAAAACAAATAATAAAAGAAGAAAATATTTGTCGAGAACGATTAGTGGCAGAGTTGATCATTGAACTAGGTGACGACAGTAGCGACAGTGACGATTTTTTTAGTGACTGATACTTTATTATTATTATATTTAATATTTTGTATATTAATAATGATACTATGTAGAAATGTAATGAAACAGAACGTAATAAATTGTTACTTTGTACAATTTTTTTTATGTACATGTTTCAATAATTGCTCAGCCAAAAAGATTCAAAACATACTTATATCTCACTTGTTAGTTAGTTTTACGTAGATAAATTCTTAGGACAGTCCTGGAACGGTTAAGGGTAAGGGTCTGCTCGGCAGGGTGTTCTATAAGGGGCTGCGGTTTTGGATTAACCAACAGTAGGCAAAGTTACGCACGGGGTCGGTGTAAAAGCACTATATTTCTGGTCGAAGTATGCCACCGAATCGACGTATCGCGTCAAAACTACAGTTTCAGGGGATTGTGGTTATTGATTATAACGTCGAGTTTGTGCGCTGCCGGTTACATGACCGTACTGTTCTGGGAGAGGTACAGCGACAATCCAACCAGGACTACGATAAAAGCCATTTACGCACCTGTCGCGTCCATCCCCTATCCCGGTGTCACGATCTGCAACGTCAACAACGTACTCAAGAGCAAGTTGGATAAGTTCCTGTCAACGCTGTAAGCTTCTTTAACGGTGCCATTTCACGAAAAACATAGGAAAAACTTTGAAGTGACGCGACCGACGACGAGATCGAAACGGTTCGGAAAACTTTCCGCAAGCTGCGGTTCTCGCAGCAGAGCGCGTTGGCCGCGGCGACCGCAGAGTACAACCACACCGAGTTGGAAGTGGTCCAGGACGTTTTGAAACGCAACGATTTCGATAGTGTGCAAAGGATCGTAAGACGCGTGTCCCAAAGTTGCCCAGATATGATCCAGAGGTAAAAAAACTTTTAAGTACTTAGAACAAATTTTCATCTCAGACATAATGCGCATAAAATTGAAAACAAGAAGAAGAAGAAGAATCCCGACCTCAGAAAATACAAAAAAAAAACAAAACAAATAATTATTTAAAACGATATTTATTAACAACATACATTCAATCGGTTAAAGTTGACTTTCTACACTGCGCATGCGGGATCCTTTCAACATTGGACAATTAATATGGCCGCTGGCGGTTTGTTCTTCTTTCTTACTTCTGTTGGTCAAGACTGCCAAGATCATTCGGCCAGATATTATCATACTTCAACATTAATACGTGCAAGTTTAACGATTCACACCATGTTTAAACTTTAATACAAATGATGTTAACGATTCGTGTTGGGCACCCAACAACTCATTCACAAACACTCGTTGACAATTTTTTTTTAATCGATACTATAAAAAACACGGCTCCCCTTGCTTGCACCACGGACCTCCGGGCCCATCCGGCCTGGTTACCGGCGTGTGTGAGTGAAACACCGGGACAGTTATATCACTAAAATACACTATCTATTGACGAAAATCGTACACAATAACAATTTGACCGAAAACATGTCAAGAATAAGCCTGCCTCGTGCGATACTACCAACAGAATCACCTGTCGGTTTCTCCATTTTGGCAGTGTCTTCTTCTTCTTGTCATCGCCGCCTGAGATGCATCAATTTTACTTTGACATCTCATGTTTTGCAAATAATCTAAAACGAGCTTTTAGTTGCGCGTGGAATAAAAACGAACCATGTGCGCATCAATTCCGAGAAACGTTCACGGCCAACGGTCTGTGTTGTTCCTTCAATTACGTACTTGACGTATCGCCCGATCAAATGTTGAAGAACCCACAATACGGAACCTCGTCAGGCTTGACGGTAACCGTGAAACCTGCGCACGATCCTGTGACGTCGTCGCTACGAAAAATCAGAAGGGTTAAGGTATATGGAAAATTCTAAATAAGAAATAATCGATAAGGTCACTGCTGCAGGTGATGATACACAGCTCAGGCGACTACCCGGGCATTGACGCATTGACGAAAGTACTGAGCGCCGGAGAGTTGTGCTACTTGCAACTGAAGGCTTCGAAGCGGGAAAGCAGCCCGTCAGTGAAATCGTTGACTGTGCGTCAGAGGAAGTGTGTGTTCCCCAATGAAAGAACGCTGAAATATTTCAAGTTGTACACTGACTCGAACTGTTTTATGGGTTGCCTAGCGAATCAAACTTACAAGCACTGCGGCTGCGTTCCCTATTATTACGACTACACAGGTTCGTAGATGGCGCGCGGCTGCGCAAAATACTCGAGCTTTCTTGCAGACAAACCCTCCTGCAATTTGACCATGCTGCCGTGTCTACAACATATCAAATCCAGTAAGATATACCGGGTATTTTCTACCGCTTATAACGCGCTTGTAAGTAGGTACTCACGGGTGTTACTGTCCGCCTCAGTGCGAGGACGAATCCTACAACGTATTTGCAACTTCCGCCAAGCTCGATAACCGGGTCAAGAGTGCTTGGACCACTAAGAGTTTGTAGGTTATCGCAAATTGTTTAATGAACAGTTTTCATGACATAATGGTGGATGCGTATACGTTATTTTTTTAGGTTAGGCATCAACGATACCGAAAAATATCTCATTATTAACGTCCATTTTATCGGAAATGGTCAACAAATCTTGCTGAGAGACACCATAACTTCGACAATCTATCTGTTGTCATCATTCGGAGGCGTTTATGGCTTATTCATCGGGTGCAGCATTATTTCCTTAACCGAGATATTTTATTACGTCATCATCCGTTTCGGGCAGAAATTGAGGGAAAACCAGAGGATCGAAGCAAAAATCCACACCATATCCAGCAAGCTGAACCAAAACAGACTCCAAAAAGAATCCATGGAAATTTATTTTCAGCCGCAATTTCCATTCGTGCAATAAATTTTATTTCAAGGGTTGTAAATTGTGATTGGTGGTCTAAAATATTCGCGTTCTGTTGCAGCACTTAAAAAGCTTGGTTGTTTAAATTTTGCTTGTCAGAATAAACGCTAATAAACGATAGTTTTACTAAAACCCTTACATATTTATAAACTATATTTATTAATTTTCACTTAAATATACTTAAAAATAACATCTTTTTTATCGGCTACGGTCTGCAGTTCAAGTTTCACGGGGCACTGCAACCAAAAACTTAACAACTCTTCAGTATACCCGATCAGAAAGTACATTTTCCGGGCGCCGATTGCCCTCTGAATAATGCCGGCTATCCTAATAATGTTATGTTGTCGTTTAATAATAATTTCTGTCAAAAACAGTCCTTGCCACGTTCCCATTACAAATTTTCTAATGAACTCATCCTCGACCGCCGTTTCTGAAGGTCTCAAACCGCCCTCCAGATTTGCTAGAACAAGTAAAATCTTAGTTGCTGTGATAAAAATAAACTTTGACCTACATGTATTCCAAGAGTTCCAAGCCTTACGGTGAGCGATGTGAAATGGCGGATTGGCCATTTCGTAAGTTAAGGGGAAGTCCCGTCGTTTCGTGACTTTGTATTTGCCTGACTGGGTTTTCTCCATCGGTGCAGTCAAGTGAATGCAACGAGCCACTTGGATTGACAGTCTCGGAGAGTGAATTATCTGCAATTGTTTACATAGCAGATTTACGTTTAGAGGATGAATTTTATGTACCTTTTTTGTTAGTAAACTCATTTTATTATTATTAAGAATGTATGTCTTATTTAAGGTTATGATTAGAGAACAACGACTGGGTCAGTTACGATTACATCCACCATTGATAAAAGTTTAACGGATTCAAAGATCTATCAACAATCGGCGGGATTCTGTCGGTGAGCATTGCACGCGGCGGTCTAACATCCGTTCGCTCCCGACAGAATCCTTTGTAATCGTCCCCAGGAATTATGGAATCGGTTTCCACAGAGTGGATTTAGTGTTTTTAGTGTCTAGTGAGTATTTTAAGGGTGTAATCGTCGCCGGCCTCTCAGTTTTTTCCTGTTCACACCGGTATGGTGCCGGATGGGCCCGGATCGGTCAAAGTACTATATTGGAAGCTGAGAATAAATGTTGGAAAAAGCTTTTTTGTTAACTATTGGTCAGTAGTCTTGCCTTACTGTTTTTAAAGAGCAAAGAAGAAGAAGATATTAAGAAGAATTTTGTTTCTGACACTTTCACCATATGTTTCTCTATTGGGATCAGCTGAGTTTGTTTTCTTTTTACAAAAATATATTTGATTTGGGTTAATAGTTTTATATCGTGTTGCGTTAAGTAATAACACTATGGAATTATCTCCAGGTATTACCTTATATTAGTATTGCTTACGATTGGCATAAATTAATTTACTTTTACAGATACACCAATCAGAACTGTAGGAGACGGCATGGAAAGTAAACAAGAAACACCTGACCTAAAAAAAGTGCTCAGTCAAATAACTACCCCTTCAATTAGTGTCTTAAACTCTATGAAGCCAGTGATACCACAATCAAAAATGGTACCATTAATACCAAAGTATGCTCCAAAGGACCGTAAACTATTGACCTCAGTAGTAACCAAACCTAAAGAAGCAAAGTTTATCCCTTACGAGCCCTATAAAGCGGCCGTGGAGCCCATTAAACCCGTCAAGATTAAAAAAAAAGTGTCCTTCAACTCCTCAGGAGTTGTAAATACAAATTCAAAAAATAACATTGAGATTCAGGAGCTTGTCGACCAGATGGTGGAAATGCGCAGTTTTGAAATGAATTCGGCAAGACTGGCAGCCCTCACCGACGACCAGATTATCCCAAAACGTCAGTGGGAGAAAGAGAAAGAATCATATGAAACAGATATCAAAAATTTGAAAGAGACAATTTCTCATTTGGAAAATCAGCTGAAATTTCAAGCTCAGGTTAATAGTGAGCTAAAAACCTTGTTAGTAGCCGCTGTGGGTGAAGATTTGGAAACTAGGGTCCAGCATTTAACCGAGGACAAACTCTCGCTTGCCAGGGCCCTGCTTAATTCTGCCAATCATTTGACAACACACCAGGAGCAGACCGAGTGGTTGTCCGGTCAATGTGAGGTGTGGAGGAGTAAATTTTTAGCATCTAGGTAAATAAATTCAAATTAACTTAGTCTTAAATTCTTTTTTCATGTTTTTTAATTAGATTAAATTTTGAGTACCTCCGTTTTACTGTGAGTAAAACCTTAAATTCTTCTCCAGTATTTCAGACAATATAATTGTAATTGTGATATGCGGATGGTTCAAGTTAACAAAAATGGTTTGTAAGTTGGTGCCTTATTTTAAGCTCTTGTTTCTAATTTAAGTCTAATGGTAGAAGAACTTGCCAAGTGGAAAGCGGCTCTCACCAAAAGGACGAACGACTTGCAAAATGTGATGAAGAAAATGTTGAATGAAAGTTCTAAAATCCAAAAGAGTATGTTAAGTACATTTGCAAACATGAATTCGATCGAAACCAATCAGGGTCGGATCTCTTTGAAATCGGCAGATGTTGTAGAACTTGCTACCAGAAATTTAGAACTCTCAGAGAGGTTGAGGGAGTTTTTGAACGCGCCCGGAGGCGATATCAATTCGAAGAAATATGAGGGGTTGAATATGCATACCCCACTGGAGCAAGTGGCCCTCAAAGTAAGTTTTGTTTTGGACTTTGTACATTTTATATGTTAGAGGCTTTAACATTGATTGCCAAGATAGATTATTGAAATGACATTTTATAAATTAATGGGCGATCTGGCCGCCACACAGTGGTCTCAAAAATTAAATTCTCTGTTGGATTTGTACCAAAATTGATATGTGGGGTTGGACAAGCTCTCTGCTCCCTAATATGCTCAAAAAAAATGTGATTTGCAAGATAACGGTTGACATTTGAAAAATTGATTGAAAAAACCATAGTGAAATTTCTCAAACTGGCCCATGCAATGTTGTAATAAGTAATAAAAATATTGGGGAGGGGGGATGAGGTTTAATTATAAGTGTTATGTTAGAAAATATTTACAAATTGTGCCTTAATTGTCACAGATTATTCAATATTTCTTAGGTATCTGAAGGGTAGTTTAAACCTTGACCCTTCTCGCTACCTTAACGGTAATTGTAATAAAACTGAAAAACATTTAACTACTATTGGTAATAGCGTCGTTTCTATTACTTGTTTTCCATGTATTAATACTTTATGCACAAACTCTTCTCTGTCCTGTTCACAGCTTGCAAGTTCTGTCTCATTTTGGAAAATAGAGTAGAAAATGATGCCTTCATGTGTTCACAAATAACTATAGTTTTTCACTACGTCCAGTAATCACCGTTTTTAGATGATTCAATAGATCTTAGGCGGTCCTTCACCATGTCATAAATCTCCTTTTTAGTATTAACTAGTTCCTGGAAGGAGGAGCCTGTAACAAAGAAACATATCTGTTTTAATTTTCTATACAAGGTATCACTATCGCATGTAGTATATCAAATTTTGTGAAATCTGTATTTGATTTTAGAATTAGAAAATCATTAAAATATAATCCGGTTCTTGCTTTATTCTTTTATATACAGGATGTTTAATATTATTTTAATTGCTTTTAGTTTTAAAATTGAACCTGTGTACAAATTTATGATTTAATTACTAATTTTCTCAAAATAAAAATGGCAGTCGATACCAACAATTATATATCTATGCATTATTTTCGCTATACTTTGAACGCGTTTTCTGTCACCTGTGGTTGGAGTGGTAGCTACTGGCTGCAGAACTGCACCAAATTTAAAAGATAATAAGTCATTTTGTTAGTTCAAATCCTAATATGTTCGGCATATACTGGTATATGCTACTTTCGCACCTAATGAATCTGTGAATAATTTAATAAATATATATTTTTTACCTTATCCTTTTTAAATAACTAAAATTAAAATTTACATACCTGATGGAGTTGGTTCCATAATGGAAAAATACTATGAAATAACTTGAGTTTAAATTAATTCATTTTATTTTATAAAAATGTCACATTCTAAAAGTCTCTGAATACTACCACTCTCGAAAAACACTAAATTACAACTAAAATTAAGGTGGTGAAAGCCAAATATTTAAGGACTTTTCAATTGTTGGAAGGTAGCCTGGACCCTATATTACCTGACCCGTTCATTGAAATTGCCAGAATAGGAATTTTGTCTTTAAAGTCTGTTCATAGATATAAGAAAGTGACTAACTGATACGAATTAAGGAAAGACCCGGGCAAGCTGTAAGAATGAATTATGGTCTAACAATATTTATTTATTTTTGTATGTATTTATGTTTAAATATAAAATAAAATTACAAATTATTTTTATTACCTACTTAAATTACTTAAAATTATTCAAATAATATATCAGTATCACGATAGCTATCATCACCTGTTCTAATTATTATTTGTTCTATATTATTTGCGATATGGATATACGATTCTTCTGCTTTTTCTATATGTTATAGAAAAACTTTGGTTTCTATAAGTTTGAGGACATTGGAGTTAACACGGGGAAAAACATTGTTACGACGAAAGGCAGATTTCAGTTGGTGCCAAACATGTTCAATGGGATTAAATATACAGTGGTAAGGTGGAAGCCTTAAAACTGTATGCCATAGATTTTGTGCAATTATCACAGACGTATTCCTTTTGTAGGTTCAATCTTTGTAGAAACTCAATTAATTGCTTAACTTAAACTAAGTAGTATACCAAACCAAAGAATATTAAAAACAGGTAGGTATAAAATTATTTTCTCTATTATGGATCACAATTTTACCTGAATTTAAATTCCGAAACTTTAGGTAATAATCTTGTTGCATTCCATTCTATTCCATTCAAAAGCAATTGGTCACTTTCTTATATCTATGAACAGACCATACCTATTATGACTTAGACCACGGTGCGCCGTCTCTGAAAGGATCCAACATTGCCAAATGATCGAAAAGACACAAAAGGGGAAAATATCCTATGGATATTTTTTTTCAGTATGATTTAAGACAAATGGGGCTTGATTTCGAGGGTATCTTTTCTCTTGAGGGCGATTGAGGTTAAAGTGCCACTAGAAAGTATTTCTGATCAGTTTTAATATACCATTAACTAAGCTATATGATGTCATTCCGATAACGCCCGATATTTATGTGTAAATCATTATAGATAATTAAAAATCCCGTGTCGATATCGAGTCCCCAGGATTCGTTGTGCAGCGCCCTGCTGGATGTCGCGAACTCGATGTCGGGTGAGCAGAAATACCTGCAGGTTCCTCTAATGCATCCTTGTTGCTCGCACTGTAGAGGCGACGTTCAGGACGTATGACATTTGGAATAAAAATTAGATTAAGGGCAATCAAATTTTTATACGCATTTTTTTTTTAAGTAAAAGGATTCTGATATAATTTTGAGTTGTCATTTGAACCCTTCCTTGAGGCGGGCTGAATGTTAATAAGAGTCGTAGAACCCGTCTCAATGGAGAAAAGCCCAGTGACGCCATGGGCGAAATAACCGCTCTATCTCCTTCTCGCGTTATTGCGTTCTTTATCGTGTAGGAGAAACGGTGGCGGAACGTATTTCAATTACGTGTATTTTACGTGTATTTAACAAAAAATTTGTGTATGTTGAACTTTTTTTATATTACCTTTTTCTTCTATTTGGCCCATTTCGATCTTTTAGATTTCTTGCCCATAAACGACCCACTCAGTACATAATTTTAACAATGTTCGAAATAGAGGTTATAGCTTTAGATCTCCCAGTTTTTCTATATGAGTGAATGAATTTTTCCAATAGAGTAAATGATTTTTGATAAAATACTTGTATTTTGAAACCATGCAGTTCGTCGTAATAGTAAATGAGAGCGAGAAATAGTGGATTTTAGTGGAAGTGGAAGTTTGGATTTTTTCAAATGTCTTCAACAGCGTATGTGATAGACGAAAACCGTAAATACAAAAATTGTAGCTATTAGTGCGCCTATAAGACCGTCTAAACCAATTAGCCATATTTTTTAGGATTTTTGATATATGGCTGATATTTTACCTCGGAAACGAACAATTTTCACGATCTTTTAGATTTTTATCTGAAATTGAAAAACTCTGTATATGTTTTCGAGAAAAATATTTTTTTCTAGAGGTTCGAAGTTATTCGCTCTTTTATGAAGCGGCGACAGAGAACAGAGAACGGACAAGCAGACAAACAAAAAATTTTTTTCGACGGTGTTAATTTCTGTACCAATTGGGGTCCAAAAATTCAATTTCATCGATTTTCCGAAAGCAACAAGTTTAATAACCACCATTTTAGTTATGAGTTTGATTTGAAACGAGTGTTTAATAAACGACCGACTGAATAAATTTATCAACGTGTTGTATTTGCCATAATTTTTGTAGGATCGTTAGCTTTTGGGTATATTTTTGCAAAGTAGCACTGAGTGACGTGTAAAGTGACCATCAGGCCTCAAAATACCATGGTATTAAATCAACTGAAAACGTCCGATCGCGAGTTGTTGTTGTGACAGTGAATAATAAAGATAACTTGTTAAAGTGACAGTTGCGGTACGGTTGATCCATAACATAATTGGGTAATTCAGCGTAGGGAGTAGAAAAATACATAAAATCGTATTTATTTATGAAAATGACATTACAAACAATATCGTGGTGCATTTTTTTGTGTACTCGACGGGCTTGAGTACAAGAACCACACAGCAAGAATGTCCAATAACGACAACTTCAATTTCAAAAATCCGTTTATGGCACAAGAAATTTTTACGTACAGTCTTCAGTTACATGAAAGACGGCCCTCCCAGTGCATTTTGTATAAACCACACACAATCTGCCTACTTTTCAATAGACGACAATAATCAACTTTTTGGTGAATTGAGAGAGTTCGTAATTAGATCCGGGGTTTTAAACTACTCATAACAAGGTCGGCGCAAACTGCATGGATGGGTTCGTCGTTTCCGCAACGAATACGATTTTGGATCTTGCACTGTTGCCGCTCCCTTGTTTTTCGCCGTAGTTAGTACTTGAAATATACACGTATATTATTATATAGTCTTCGTCGGTTTGATCACAAATACGGCGCAGGTGCTGGTGGCATTTATATATCGCCGGCCCATATAATGGCGCGCCTCGATTTGTCTACACTGGCCATAAAACTGCCGTAGGGATGCCAAGCCGTTGCCGTCACTGACGATCTGCCAAAGAAAAAAAAAACGTTTCAATTTTTGTCTTCTCGCGGAAAACGTCTTAAACTAATTGCAAAGTAAAAATTGAAATGGTTGCGTTTGTTTTGATATAGTTTTCATACTTTTGTGGGTTAGGTACTGTTTAAAAAATATTTTGTTAGGTATCGTTCCCGATTCAGTTTCTTTATCGATTTTATTCGAGTATTTAACATTAAAGAAAAAGTTTACTGTCGAGGGATACGACTAAAGAAACATTAGTTAATAACAGCTTTTAGAACTGCAACGCCATTTATGGATACTTGACCTTTTACAGTATTTATTCTTTTAACCGTGACCGAAAAGCCTGTCATTTTCTAGTAATATTATTTCTAGAAAGTGTAGGAGTTTCAAGTGATAATTAAAACGTCCAATAGTCTAATCTTTTTTTCATGTGACAACTTCTGATCGTCGCCCGGTTTAAGATATCTTAAAGATTCTAAAATCGAAAAAAAAATTGAAAAATTCAAATCGATCGTCACCGCTCATCTATACTGTCTCATATTTAAAGAAGATGACACCGGTCGATAAGGAAAAGAAAGAATAAGATACGGAAATGTAGAGAGGTTAGACAAGAAGGAATATATCTCCCTCCCTGTCCGGCTCCACCCCTGTAATTATTATTGTCAGCGTTGGTTCCGATCGCCTACGTTTTCCCACATTCGAGAAACGCAAAACAGATATATTTCCTGTCCTCATTATATTCCTCGCCGATGTCCTACGAAATCTTTAGGCGCGATAACGGCGTCCCGCGTGACAGGTGACAAAGAATTTATCACGTTCGGTCTGCAGCGCATCGTTCCGGCTTTCCATATAGAGAAAACTTTATTATTCAGCAAAGACGGTGGATGTTACGGCCACGTCGGCTAGACTACTCTGATCAATCGCAATTGCTTTATTATTTTACTGCGGATAGTCCACGCTTCTTATTTGTTTTTTTTTTCTGTAATTTTAAAAATGGTTTTGTCGAGATCCGTCGACATCATAATACATCTAAAAACTCGCTTAAATTCTTAACATTAAACGTACGATAAAAATACACATTAATCAGGACGTGATCTACTACGCTAGAGGGTTGCGTGCCCGCAGTAAAGAAAAAAAGTAGAAAAATTGGTTCAAAGTTCAGTGCGTTACCACAGCTTATCTTCTCCTTTTTTGCTTTTTAGCCATGGTCGTTCAGACAACTAAGGACACTCGCCCATTACCGACATTAGTTTTGGAATTTTTTCATGTCAGTCTATGATATACTATTACTTATAACACCAAAAAAAATATACTCTGGTTCCAAATCCTCTACCCGCTTTGCCGCGCGCTATATATATATAAATGTTATTTGAGTTAGTTTTTGTTTTCGTTTGTTTAAACTTAGAATAAAAATATATCAGATTCAGAAAGATACAGAAATTAAAAACAAAACCGAATTTAAAGTAAAAATATGTTGTTATTTATGTGCATGCGCAGATGACGGAATATATTCCTCTAATTATAACCTCCTCGCGAAATCCCATCTACAGAATCCTATTTCCGGGTTTTCAAGATTTAAGACTTGTTTTCGATGAAATTGTTATTGTGTTCGATCTTATTAAATAGATAGTGTCTTTTAACGATATGACCGTCCCACCGTTTCGCTGTTTTTCTGATACACGTCGGTAACCAGGCCGGATGGGCCTAGATGTGGCAGCGAGGAGAGGGACGATTCATCTTAGCAGTTGTGGCCAATAGGAATAAAGAAGAAGAAGAACAACGGTATTTTAAAGTACTCGGTAAAATTTACACTGGTATCTAATAAAATTTTAAATAAAATCGGAAACAATATGCGTACAACAATGTTAACAATTTTCTGTCGACATAAATCCGTTTCGCGGGGTCCGGTTTGAAAATTTACGGACCTATCGGTTCGTAATTAATTTCAGTGCGGCTCACGACTAACGGACACAAGCGAAACAACCGACTAGCGATTTCCTTGAATGGACAGCGGACAAGGTTTACCCGCAATGGCGTATTTATAACGTCGTAACGCGCTTTGGTCGCATTTTCCACGCTTATATGGTGAATCGCGTGTGCACGGAAGGAGTTTTAAGCGCATTGACAAATTTCTGAAGTAGGACGCGGGTGATTTGTGCGTCGGCGCATAATAGGCTCTTAACTCCTGAAAGGTTTTCTTGAGGGTAACAAATTATTCAAAAAGACTGGGGCTTACCCGTGTTCTTTGAGGATTTGCTCGACTTTGCCGTTGACGACGCCCCATATGTACACGCTACCGTCACCGGAGCCCACTGCGACATATTGCCCGTCTGGGCTAAAAGACGCTCTGGCCCAATCGCATCCTACTTTGAAACCGTCACAACTACAAGGTTAGAAAATCGGGTAAGGTGGGGAAAGTGCAAATTTTAACTCTCACCTATACGACATCACTACTTGGTTGACCCTCAAGTCGATGAGCTTCAAGGTGTCGTCTCTCACGCAACATATGAGATATTTTGCATCTGTAACATGATTTCTTAAGTGTCCATCAATCGTTAAATTACAAACTAATATAAAATAAAATATAATGTCATAGCTGTCCATAGCTGCATGGGTTTACAGCCTTCAATTACATATAAATAACTAGCTAGATTTTACCATTCAAACAAATGCCTAATAGTGCACCATTTACCTCTCGTCAAATCCAACGAAGTCACCTTGCCGTTCAGGACTATATTGTTCGCGCTGGATTCGGACCTGTTGTCCCAAAATCGCACCGTTTTATCGAAATGTCCGCTAATAATAGTAGAACCGGCGTTATCTACCGTCACCAAGTCGTTGCAACTCGATCCAGCAAATTTCGTCTCAATACCTATACGTTAAGGAAAAGGAAACTGGACATTTTCGAGAAGCTCCAGACGACTTACATGCTCTGCTTTTGAGGTCCCAAATTTTCAATGTCCGGTCGTGGCTACCGGTCACAACTTTGGACGCGTCGCCTAGAAATTTGCCGGCCATCACCTTCCCAGAATGTCCCGTTAGCGTGTGCTGTAACAAAGATTTATGGTTAGTGTTTATTGTCAAGTGCTGAGATAAGTGGATACGCCGCGAGGTCGGGTTTTTTAGGTCTATACTCTATCGGTGTAAAAATCTCTTTCATGACCATTATCTCAACTCAGACAGGTGATAGAAAGGTAAATTCCGGCCACAAAGCCTCTACATTCAAATATATTCCTCACCATTGCAGTAAAAAAAATTGTTTGTCATTAATTACAACAATAGAGTTTCGGTTCTGTAAAAATCGGTAGCAAAACGGGCAAAAGAAAAATGAAGGCCACCCACGCTTCGCACCAAAGGCGACCTGGAACTTTTTCCCGGTCGGCTGAGCGAAAACGCGAGGCCAAGAAAAATCCCAATGGAAACGGCACTAATTGCGAGTTATTTACTATCTGGTTCGAAGGTATTCATTATGACGCAACGAGACGTCGGTCGCTGATTTGAGAGCCCGCAGCCTCATTTTAATGCCCGTGTGCCCATGAAGAGCAGCAACTCGGACCGTTGATATTGCAACGATGAAAAGACCGTTTTTTCTACTCCGTCGGAGTTTGCGTTTGGCCGGAAACCAAGTCGATTTTTGCAAAGGTAAGTAAGATAAGAACCACCCTAAACAAAACAATGAAGAGAATAATAGTTATTCGTTTTAAACATCCCAGTTAAGATGTGAGGTTTACAGGGAGGGAAAGGTTTACAGGGAGGGAAAGGTTTATAGAGAGAGAGAGAGAGAGAGAGAGAGAGAGAGAGAGAGAGAGAGAGAGAGAGAGAGAGAGAGAGAGAGAGAGTAAAGAGAGAGTAAGAGAGAGGGGGGGAGAAAGAGAGAGAGAGAGTAAAGAGAGAGTAAGAAAGAGGGGGGGAGAAAGAGAGAGAGAGAGTAAAGAGAGAGTAAGAGAGAGGGGGGGAGAAAGAGAGAGAGAGAGTAAAGAGAGAGTAAGAGAGAGGGGGGGAGAAAGAGAGAGAGAGAGTAAAGAGAGAGTAAAGGAGAGGGGGGGAGAAAGAGAGAGAGAGAGTAAGAGAGAGGGGGGGAGAAAGAGAGAGAGAGAGAGTAAAGAGAGAGTAAGAGAGAGGGGGGGAGAAAGAGAGAGAGAGAGTAAAGAGAGAGTAAGAGAGAGGGGGGAGAAAGAGAGAGAGAGAGTAAAGAGAGAGTAAGAGAGAGGGGGGGAGAAAGAGAGAGAGAGAGTAAAGAGAGAGTAAGAGAGAGGGGGGGAGAAAGAGAGAGAGAGAGTAAAGAGAGAGTAAGAGAGAGGGGGGAGAAAGAGAGAGAGAGAGAGAGAGAGAGTGAGAGAGAGAGAGAGAGAGAGAGAGAGAGAGAGAGAGAGAGAGAGAGAGAGAGTAGAGAGAGAGTAAGAGAGAGGGGGGGAGAAAGAGAGAGAGAGAGTAAAGAGAGAGTAAGAGAGAGGGGGGAGAAAGAGAGAGAGAGAGTAAAGAGAGAGTAAGAGAGAGGGGGGGAGAAAGAGAGAGAGAGAGTAAGAGAGAGTAAGAGAGAGGGGGGGAGAAAGAGAGAGAGAGAGTAAAGAGAGAGTAAAGGAGAGGGGGGGAGAGAAAGAGAGAGAGAGAGTAAGAGAGAGGGGGGGGAGAAAGAGAGAGAGAGAGTAAGAGAGAGTAAGAGAGAGGGGGGGAGAAAGAGAGAGAGAGAGTAAAGAGAGAGTAGAGAGAGGGGGGGAGAAAGAGAGAGAGAGAGTAAAGAGAGAGTAAGAGAGGAGGGGGGAGAAGAGAGAGAGAGAGTAAAGAGAGAGTAAGAGAGAGGGGGGGAGAAAGAGAGAGAGAGAGTAAAGAGAGAGTAAGAGAGAGAGGGGAGAGAAAGAGAGAGAGAGAGAGAGAGAGAGAGAGAGAGAGAGAGAGAGAGAGAGAGAGTAAAGAGAGAGAGGTAAGAGAGAGGGGGGAGAAAGAGAGAGAGAGAGAAAGAGAGAGTAAG